AAAAGACTTTCATAGAGTTTTGTGAATGCATCCAATCCAGTCTCTATAATTTCTGCTTCTATGCTGGGATCCAAAGGTTCAGTCTCTGTGAAGTCCAGTTCCCAAACTGTGTCCACCCATTCTAGTGGAGGAATGCAATTAAATCAGTATGTGCTCCACAGCAAGTAAAAAAACAATAATTTTTAGACTCTGGGTACATTCAAGAAGAGAAAAGTTTATTAGTCACAACTCACATGTAATCATATAATACAGGTGAAGCCTAATTCAAGGAGAGCAGAAAAGGTTAAGAAAATCTTTTAAGGCCTGGCTGGAGTAGCTCAGTGGATTGAGCGTGAGCTGTGAACCAAAGTGTTGCAGGTTCAATTCCCAGTCAGGGTACATGCCTGTGTTGCAGGCCACAGCCCCCAGCAACCGCACATTGATGTTTCTCTCTCTCTCTCTCTCGCTCTCTCTTTCTCCCTCCCTTCCCTCTCTAAGAAATAAATAAATAAAATCTTTAAAAAAAAGTCAAATATTTTTTTTTTTAAAAAAGAAAGAAAATCTTTTGTTCCTTTTTAAATTACAACTGACATCTGGTTATTAGGTTGGTTATCTTCTAAAAGTATCAAAGAGGAAAACACTTTTTATATGCAACAGTTTGGGGGAATGACACTTCAAATCACTCAATGATCAGCCTTTCCCATACATTCAATTTGGAGAAGAAAGAAGTTAATCAAAGACTGTCCCAGGAGTCCCTTTGTAAAAACCTTGTAACAAAGTTAATAAGCCCAAATAAAATACTTTATTGGGCCCTCGGAGAATAATGTAGCATGTCAAAAAAGATACAATTTCCCCCAAGACGTTTAAAGTAGAGGAGGCAAGCCAGATCCACACTCAGAGAAATACTCAGTGATTTAAAAATACACTGATGGAAAGAATGTATGCTAAGGGAATGTAACATTAATGCAGCGTTCTTGCTGGTCTCTCTTAACTCTAAACCTTCTCACATGTTTATAACAAGTATCTTCCCCAATATTTTGCTGGTATAGCCTAAAACCTACTAAATTCAGGAGAGATGGAAACATGTGGACCTTTCCAGCATTACTAATCAGGTGCTCCTTCACTCCACCTTCTCGGACCTCTGCAGGAGAGAGATTCTTACCAGGCAGCAAAGACAGGACATCTCGTCATCCCAGGAGTAAAGCCTAGAGCTGAATAGCACTTCACCCACACCCACCCTCACCTTCACAGCTGTGAAGAGTAGGCAGCTGCTGGGGCAGAAGGGCTGGGAGAGGGAAAAGAAGGCAGAGGCTCAGAATCACAGCTGACCCAAGGCCAGCCCCTTTTAGGAACCCAGGGGTCAAGGTTCTCAGTTCAAGAAATTTTTAAAAAAGGGCTCAAATTAATGATGGTAGGTTGTATGATTCATAAGATAGGACACAGGACAGCACCACTTAAAAAAAAGCTTTCCAGAGGTGAGGTCACTGCCATCTTGATGGTTTTACCTTTACAATGGTGGTGGGGGCATGTGTGTAAGATTTTGTTTTAAAATGCCAATGGTTGTTGGGGAAATGCAAGCCAAAGGACATTCTCTGGAGCACTGGTACCTACATGGGCGGCTTCGTTGCCTCTCCTTACTGCCCTGTCTCCTGTGAAGAAGACATGGAGATACAGGAGTTCCAGCCAAGGTGGAGGCATAGGTAGAAACCCTTCGCTTCCTCGCACAACCAAAGGGAGGATAACAACCAACCTAAAATCAGTAAACAACCAGAAGTGCCAGAAAATCAAACTGCATGGAGCTCCGACAACCAAGGAATTAAAGAAACAATCAACCAGAACAACCAGACAAGCAAAGCCACAGCACAGCAAAGAGGGTGGCCCTGCCCTGGTGAACATCTAAGGCTTAACAGGTGTGCTGAGACAAAAAAAAAAAAAAAAGGCCCAAATGAAAGAACAGAGCAAAGCTTCAGAAAGAGAGCTAAGCAGTGAGGAGATAGCCAATCTATCTGATGGAGATTTTAAAGCCCTGGTAATCAAAATGCTCACAGAACTGATAGGGTCTGGTCGAAAAATGAAAAAATAAATGAAAGATACCCAAAATGAAATAAAGCAAAATATTCAGGAAACCAACAGTGAAGGGAAGGAAACCAGGACTCAAAGCAACAATTTGGAACAAAAGGAAGAAATAAACATCCAACTGGAATGGAATGAAGAAATAAGAATCCAAAAAAATGAAGAGAGGCTGAGGACTCTCTGGGACAACCTGAAATGTTCCAATATCTGAATCATAGGGGTGCCAGAAGGAGAAGAACAAGAGCAAGAAATTGAAAACTTATTTGAACAAATAATAAAGAAAAACTTCCCCAATCTGGCGATGGAAATAGACTTCCAGGAAGTCCAGGAAGCCCCAGAGAGTCTCAAAGAAGTTGGACCCAAAGAGGAACACACCAAGGCCCATCATCATTAAGTTATCCAAGGTTAAAGATAAGGAGAGAACCTTAAAAGCAGCAAGAATCTTAAAAGACTGTCAGCTGATTTCTCAAAAAGAAACCTTGTTAAGCTCAAGTTAAAGGAGTTTATCACCAAACCATTATTACAAGAAATATTAAAGGGACTTATCTAAGAAAAAGAAGATGATCAAACCCATGAACAGTAAAATGACAACCAACTCACAACTATCAACAAATGAACCTAAAAGAAAAGAAAAACAATGAAAACAAAAACTAAGCAAACAACCAGAACAGGAACAGAATCAGAGAAACAGACATCCCATGAAGGGATTTCATTGGGGAGGGGGAAGGGAGGAATAGGGCGGGGGGAAAGGTACAGGAAAGAAGAAGCATAATTAGTAGGCATAAAATATACAGGGAGAGATAAAAAATGGTATAGAAAAGAGAGAATTCAACTTATATATGTACAACCCATGGACATGAACTAAGGGGGGAAATGCTGGTGGGTTGGGGGGTATGGGTTGGAAGGAGGATAAAGGGAGAGAAATTGGGAAAACTGAAATAGCATAACCAATAAAATATACTTGAAAAAAGAAACCTTTCATGGACTTGACTGTTTTAACATGCATGCTTTAATTAATTACTCATTTACTATCTCCTTCCTAGTCATTCTAACCACAGTCATCTTCATAAAAATGTTCTTGTATCTTTCCTCTCACACATTCTTCCATTTATTTTATATACATATTTTAAATGTATGTTAATAAATGCACATCAGTATATCTGATCTCATTTCTGGGTGACAACTACAAAGTCCCAACGAGAAAAGAAAAGATGTGGTGACAGGAAATCAATCAATTCAATAAACAAGAGCTAGTACTACTTTTATGGCGGATGAGTGTTAAAACTGTGACAGATATGTGAAACACTAGCAAGCCTAATAGAATATATTACTGGGAGAAAGGGAGAGGAAGAGCTGGAAGGATGATTCTTCTTTATTTGGACCTAAACGTAAACGTTGAGGAGGGAAATAAAAGCAGAAAAGTGCATAACAAAGCACAACGGGAAAGTATAGCCTGATTGGGAATGAACAAAATAGTTACAGCATAGGGATTAAATGTGAACGGTGAGAGTTATTACTATAGTATTTTTCAGCAGTAGCAGGTACCGAATTAATCGTCACAAAACCCCCTGTGAGGGAGATATTATATCCCTATTTGACAGATAAGTAAACCAAGGCTTAGTAAGGTTAAGCCGCCGGATGCTTAGCAAAGTCTAAAACCAGTTATCTCTGACTCCAAAGATTATTGTCTTGGAAAAGACTGCAGTGAATAGTGAAGGCTCTTATACGGCAGGCCAGAGATTTGGTCATTTATTTAGTAAATAAAGGTGGAAACGGTAAAGGTTTAAAGACCTGACAGATGCATTTGTGTTTTCAAAAGTGGTCCTAGCGTCCAGATTTGCAGAATAAGAAAGGGAAGGCCGAGAAAACAGATGCAGAAGAGCCGAAAGATATCGAACAACATAAGCTCTTCTTTAACGTAACTTTTTAAGCTCTATTCTATTCTTGTCTCGCCAACATCCTGAAGTGCAGACCCAGAGGGCCCAGACCTTGCAGAGAGCCAAACGCCCCACCCCCACGACACCCCAGGCCTAGGCTGAAGAGCAGCACAGGCGTAGAGCACCACAGCCCTGCCTCCCCGAGGCTCGAGGCCTCGTTTCCTCACCTGGGCTGAGATCCACCGGACACCAGGGCTGCAGGCCGCTCCCAAGGTCCGGCAGCGCCACCATGGTCGCCCGGAAACCCTCACGCCTGCGCTGCGGTCAACTTTCAAAGCTCGCTCCCGCGCGCGCTCTGAGTCGTTCCTGCGGACCAGTCACGACTTGCAGGATTTCCCACGAGCCTATCGTCGCGCCCAGTCAGCTACGTCACATTAACCAATCAGCAGGGTCTTCTACCGCATGCGCAAAGAGTGGGGCGGGCCAAGGACTGTAGATTACGCCGAGGTTCCACGACCTGGTATTTTATTTTTCCCTTTAAAGAAGGGGCTAAAAAATCAGTTAAATTCTAATAGCGCTTTTCCGGCCTCATTTTTCTTAAGTGGGAGGGTACTTTAAAGAGAATTTGAGACAAGATACTTCCTGTAATAGACAGCTTTGCGCTCCTGTCAAGTGACATTTCTCGTGTCAAAGGACTGCCATTACCCTGTCAAACAGCAATCAAACGTTGTACATATCCAAATGGTAGACTAACGTTTATCGAACGGGAATAATAGAGGAAAAGCAGAATAAAGCATTGTGAAAGGAATTCTGCAGTTCTCTTTAATTTTGCAGGATGTTGTGGGCCAGGATTCTGGAAAGAGGCCGTAGCTACCATGTCAGTTAAGGGAAAGACAGGCCGCCCTCCTCCCACTGCACATGCGCAGTGAGCACACCTCCAGTGGCCGGGTGGCAACAGCTACAGGACCAGAGGCGTGCGCACGCGCGTGGCGTCTCTGGAACGTCCAGGCTGGAGGCCTCCTCCTCCCCGCCCCGCCGGCCTCCTTCTCCCCGCCCCAGCTGGGAGCGGCGGGAGTAGCTTCGGGTGTCGCACCGCGGAAGGCTGGCAGGTTCGTTCCGCTGCTCGGCGGCGCAGGACACCGGTTAGGAGGCAGCAGCCGGGGCACCTGGCTCTGCACCAGCCCGTTAGAGTTACATTGCAGCCCCCGCCCCTCAGCGTCTCCAGCTGTTCGCTCACGTTCGGGGCCGGGGGGCCGCTATACATCTGTGCTCCCGCCGCCCAGCGGGCCCTGCCCAGTCCTTCCCGTGGAGTGGGCAGTTGTGCCTCGCCCCCGTCTGGCCGCGCGTCTAGTCCGCTGGCCTTGCCTTAGGGCAGCCCAGCCCCGGAGAGCCCGGCGCGCCCGGCCGCCGGCGAGATGAGCTTCTTTGGCTTCGGGCAGAGCGTGGAGGTAGAGATCGTGCTGAACGATGCGGAGAGTAGGAAGCGGGCCGAGCACAAGACGGAGGACGGGAAGAAGGAGAAGTATTTCCTCTTCTACGACGGAGAGACGGTCTCCGGGAAGGTGAGCCTCGCACTCAAGCATCCTAATAAGCGTCTGGAACACCAGGGCATCAAGATCGAGTTCATCGGGCAGATCGGTGAGTCGGTGCCCAGTGCCTCCCTCCCTCGCCGCGCCCGCGGGCCAGGCGCGCTCTCCGGGTGGGGACCCCGCTGCTACGGTGAGGCCTGCGGGAGCTCCCAGTCCCCTGTGGTCTGAGGCCCGCCCGCCAGGGGCCGCCCCTGCGGTACCCTCTATCCAGCGCACAGGGACTGCGTGCCGCGAGGGGCGGCGGTGCGGAGGGCACGGGGGAGAGTCCCTGCTGTGCCCCTTCAGGGTGGGTAGCTCGGCCCCGGCAGGCCCTGGTTGTCTGTTCTACTTGCCACTCAGCTGGACTTCCCGCCTCCACGATTTAGGAGTGAGATGTTCCTGCCTTAGCCTGTAGGTGGGTTTGTTAGGGACTGTGCTGCCAGCGCTGCTTTTTGCCTTCTTCTAGCCCGAGTCAGGCTGGTCTTCGGTTCCTCACTTAGTTGACCTCACCTAGCCCTTGTTTCTTTTAGACAGGATGTGGGAGAGGTGGTTCTCTCACCAGTGTCTTCTGTCCTACCTTTCCTCTGGACTGCTACCTGGCCTGTATTTCTAAGACTTCTTTATTAGGATGCTCATTTTCAGTTGACTAATTTTTTCCTTAAAGACAAAGAAATGATGCTCCTAAGACTAAAATTAAATGACCCACACTTCTCAATGCTTCTCTAGTCTTTAAACACAATTATTGATATTAGAACTGGACAGTAAAAGGCAGTAACAATACAGAAGATTTTGGAAGCTGCCAGTCAAGATGCAGTTGTACTCCAATTCTAAGACTATTTGAAGCTTGGTATTTATTAAAACTCTGAGGTACTTCTGAAGTAAACTGTTTCTGTCATTATGTCAGGAGTAGGTTCACAGTTAATAACCAAGTGGATTAAAAAACCTCTGGCAGAGAATTCATACTCTATACCACATGCTGCATGTTTAACTCTGTTTTTAGGGACTTCCTGGGAAGGCTTGTTAAATGCTCTCATGTCCTCAAGAGTTCAGCAAAGAATCTATTCCCCTCCTTGAATAAAGACTAGAAACACCTGCCCAGGGAGGAGAAACCCCGAGGAAGGGACTGCCCGTAGCATGCCTCTGCAGACTGTCCTCAGCCTGAAGGATTTGCCTCTGGCATTTAAGGGAATGAAATCAGGTTGAAGACTGGCTGATCCTACAGGAACCATTTTGTTGTTATTTCAAATTAAGATGTGAGTGGCCTTTTATGTATTCAAAATAGTCTAAAGGGTGAGTTTCGTACCCTCTGCTCTCCTGCTTCTAGATTACATAGGGTTTCTCAACAACACACTGTTGACATTTTGGGCCTGATAATTATTTGTTGGTATAGAATGTTGAGCAGTGTCTCCTGTTTCTACTCCTCTGATACCAGAAGCACCTCCCAGTTGTAACCTCAAAAATGTCTTGAGATGTTGCCTTGTGTACCCTAGTAAAATACCCGATAGTAAAGAGCCATTGACTAGACGAATCCAAAGCATTTTATGCTGAGTGTCACGTAAGAGATAGCGGAGAAGTGCTTGCCTACTTAGCATTAGTATTTTCCAGGAGCAGTTTTAACATTGTTGCATGGATTCTTTGGCTCTGTGATGCCAGTGTGGACAGGCAGATTTAGTCTGTGACTGTACCATGGTTCCTGGTGGTGATACCTTGTCAATATGTGAAGATAACCAGAGTATCTGCTGCCCCCCGCAATACTGAATGAGCTTTTCAGGAAGAATGGTGTCCAGGCCTTCTTCCAGTCCAGTCTAAGTGAAAGGGAGCTGAGGAGTCTGCTTGCTCTGCCTGCCCTGCCGGATTTCTTATCTAACTCCTTAGATCCCAGAATAGCATCTCTGCTGAGTTTTCTCAGCACCTTTTATTGCTTCTATTGATAACTGCTTCCAAGCCCCTGGGCTCTCCGGGCTGTGTGGCCTTTGTGACTCTGGGGAAGCTTTGCACTTCTCTGGGCTGCTTCCTTTCCTTTGAGGCATGGATAACAAAATCGCCAAACGAGAATGTTGAGACGTCGGAGGATCTTGCGTCATGCAGAGTATGGTGTATCTGTGTGTACCTGAGACTGTGTGCGAACTGACCTCTGGGCACCGGAGTGAGGCTGATTTTGTTGAAGTTGTGGTTTTGTGGTTTTCTCCTCCATTGCACGCTGACTATGTATGAAGTGGGTGGAAGTTCAGATTCTGAGATCTGGCTGTATGGGTGACATACGGTATGGGACGTACTATCTGGGGGTAAGAAAGTTGATTGATATCTTGGTGATCTGTCCACCTTCCTCATTGATTTCCATTTCAACTCAAAATTTTTTTTATAAACCAGTCTCTTTGATTTGGTTCTTTTCTTCTCCCTCTTTCCCTTCCTTCCTTCTTTCCTTCTCTCCTCCCTCCCTTCCTGCCTTCCTCCCTTCCTCTCTCCCCTCCTTTCTTTCTTCCTTCCTCCCTCAGAGGAATTAGTTCCTTAACTTGACAATGAAGTGGTTTGTGTAATTAATCTTCTTGTCCTTATGATTAATTAATTTTTTTTGATGAGTGTATTTGTCCCACCTGTGTATTCATTAGAGGGACAGCCTGGAAAATGCAGGGTCAAGCAGACTGAAGGATGTAAATTAGATAATGCTCAGTTTATACTAATACATACTTTGCTAGGGTCAAGACTTTGTAAGGACTAGAGATAATATACATGGAGTGCAAGGCCTGGCACTCACAGTAGGTCATCAGTAAAAGGGAGTTGAGATAATCCCTGCCATTTCTCTTTCCCTGTTAAGGTGGACCCATGAAGAAGTTTCCAGGGCTAGACATAAAACAGTTCACCCTGCAGTCACCCCTGCTTCCTGTGCTGACTCTCCATGGGGAACATTCACCCCAGGTTAGCCTCCCCTGTCATCTGCCCGCCTGCCCACATAGCCTTCCCAGTGTCTTCTCCTGGGAGACACGAGAACCCCAGTAAACCTTACAGAAGGACTTGCAGAGACAGCTGTTTGGACTCCTGGCGCTCCATTCCTCAAGTGGCCTGGGCCTTGCTCAGAAAAGCTCTTTTCTTGGTGATGGTTTGGAGCTAGACGGGAAGAGAGGTAACTTTTGTCCCCAGTCCCTTCTCACTCCATGACTTGCTCTAGTAATCTCATCTGCACTTCTCAGCGTCTTCAGTGACTTCTTATACCCTGATGGTTCCCAAGTTCTTTCTCTGTTCTGACCTGAACTTTCTTTTGAGTTGCATGCCTGTGTTTCCCACTGCGCACTAGACATCTCCACCTGGATACCCCTCCCCACAGGTCCCTCCAAGATGCATCCAAAACAGAAACCCCCTTCTCCTTCTCTTCTGGCCCAGCCACTTCTCCTATGATTGGTTTGGTTTGGTTTGGTTTTTCTCTTTTTGGCTGATGTCACCTGGGCCCATCCAGCCTCAGAAGTTTGGGAGTCATCTTAGATTCTTTATTCCTCCTCTCACATATCTAATTGTCTTCTAGGCTTTGGTCTTCTCCAGCAACTCTGATGTATCTGAAGTCTATACTTCCTCTCCATTCTTAATGCAGGTGTTGTTGCTATTTGTAGCAAACAGTCTCCTAACTGGATTTCCTGCCTTTGTTTTTTATTAGTTCACCTTCTGTAAGAGTGAACTGTCTAAAAGGCAGTTCTAACGTTGTCAGTCCCCTCCTTAAAATTCTCATCAATTCCCTACTGGTTAAGGGAGGAAATATATCCAACTCCTTCCTGACCTGGCCCCTGCCTTTCTCTCCAGTGTCATCTCTCCCTAATCCTTCACCTTCACCCCTTGTAGTTTCTTCAAAGTTTCATGTTCTTTCTAGAATGTTGGCATCTTCTGTTTGTGTATGAATGTCTTTCGCATGGCCTGACCTTCCACCCAAGCTCCTATTCTTCAAGCCCAGCCACATGACATCCATCAGAAAGCCTTCCCTGACCTCCAGGCTGACCTCAGCACTTCTTTCATTGTGCTTCTAGAGGCCTCATTGGTACCTCTTTTCAAGCAGGATATGACAAGCCTGCTACTTATTTACTTATTTTAATTTGTCTGTGTCCCTCACTAAATTCTGAGCCTTCAGTCCATCATCAGTCTGGTGGCTAATCTCTAGTGTCAGTGGCTAGTACGTAGTAAGTGTTCAATAAATATTTGCTAACTGGATACACTGGTCAGAGCTAAGGATTTACAGAAGATATTCTCTAGATTATTTTTCTCATCTCCTAGGTAAACCAGAGTTCATTCTAACAACAGAAAGGGAGAGTGCAGGTTGGCTTTGCTGGTTACTGCTAAGAGGCTGTGCTTCCTGCTGGCACCTGTGGCAAGGCATTGACAAGTGAGCGAGGTGTAGCCCTCACGCGGCCACGGAGGACTCAGATGACTCACCAGCAGGCCTTCACCCACTTGTGCAGCACTTTCACTGGGGAACCACGGTCAGGAAATGCTGCAGCTGCATGTCGGTTCGCTTGCTTTTGCATCTTTCTTCCATCACACTTTCTTCTGCCAAGTGGAGGCTGTTTTGCCCCTGCGTGTAAGAAAATCAGAGGCGTAAGAGCTTTGGCCCATGCAGTTCTGCACTGACAGCTCAGATGTGTGGCTGTTGCCCCTCGAGAGTATAGTAAGTCTTATTTATTTACTTGTGTCATGTATGCTTTTCTGTTATCAGTAAGTTTTTGAGCTACATTGGGATTCTTCCTGCACCTCAGGTACTTTTTCTGTCAATGCCAACAAAGGTGCAGTGAGGGCATCTCCCATGTCACGCAGGCAGCTAATGGCCCACATTTTAAGAATGCAACGTTGTCTGTAAGGAGCATTGAGGAAGTTCTGTCATTGTTAGAAGAAAAGACCATTTTTCAGCTGGAATCACTGGGAGAACACTGATGGTGAATATAAGGCAGAGCTGGGCCACCATGGCGACTAAATAAACCAAAGGTAATTAGAAGGTTGAACTGGCAGAGGAGGGCCGACAGGAATACCCTCCAAAAGCCAAATAGATAATATCTGATTTTTTTCCCCAAGTTTTTAATGGTAATGGCACTGGATGTATCTGAACTCATCAGCACCAATCAAACTTGTGCTTCTAAAAACTCCGGAGGCTTTCCGTGTTTTAATTCACTCACCGTGAAATGCCAAGTAAAAGGCACATTGAGATTAAATGGATCAATTCTAGTCTGTCAATAAGCAGTTGCAGGGCTTGGAGCAGAGCTGTGCCTGGCTGAGTCTGGGTGGCTGGGGTACTGCTGCCCCTGCAGATTTACTAGGTTCTTGGAGATCTGAGTGGGTGTGGCCAGCACAAGTCTTAACTGGGTTGCCAGTCAGCGAACAATGTTTGGGAAAATCAGGGTGAAGAGGAGGCTCTTTGGAGGTCTTTGTGTCCTTGCTAGCTCAGTATCCTCCAAGACCACCACGGAGCCTGGCCCAGTAGCAAGGCCTCGGGGTGTCTTTCATGGGATGGCCCTGTGCTGCACAGCTGGCTCAGTTTCCTTCCAAAGTGGCAGATTCACCCCTCAGCCGTTGGTGGCAAGTTTCATCATGAAAGCATCCTTACTACAAAATCATTTCCTCCTGTGAGACCGAGAAGGAGGCGGGAGACAGGGAAGTTACCTTAACAGAAAAACGTGGTTGGTTCCAACTCTTAGCTTGAAATGACTGTTCCCTGAGGGCTTTGGAGGTCCGGAAGAACAAGGCGTGACTTGTGCCTGCATCTTTGGGACAGAACAGAGGTGGTTGACTGTTTCTTTAGGATCCAAACTTCTTGCTAGAACAGCCTTGGATTTTTTAATTTAATTTATGTGAGAGGAAACCAAACTTTCTGGCAAATAGTAAAATATGGTTTCTGTTTCTGCCCCTTTGCCTTACAGTGTTTGCAACAGTGTTTGCAAAAGCATTGCAAACAGCTTGTAAGTCACAAGTGAAAAGTCCAAGTCCAGCCCCACTCAGACTACACACTGAGCCCTCATCCATGACATTGGGGGTGGGAGCTTGTATTAACATGTGTCCAGGAAAAAAAAGCCTGAAGGAGAGCGTGATGCTATGCAGGAAGGACCTCCTCTGCCAGAGGTCCTGGCCTCAGCCAGGTTCCCCTGCTGGGGCAGACAGACGGTTGCTAGGGTCCTGGATGCTGGCAGCGTGGCTGCTCTCTGAACACTCTCAGATCCTCCACTGTTTTGTTTCTTTCATTGCCTTTGGGCCGTGTAATCACATTTGTGTATTTTTCCATCCCCCTTTTCCCATCTTGCTCTTGACTCTGGGATTTCCCACTTAAAGATCATGGACATTGAAGCCTTGCTCTGACTGCTTTTGTCCCCTGAAACTATGGCCAGAATCCATTGCTTGTGAATTAAGGCACCAGGTCCCTCAGTTGAGACCTGCACCATCAGCAGGGGCTCATGTAGCAGTGGACCAGCAAGAGTAAGTGGAGGAGCCCTTGACATGGGCTGGCCAGTGGCTCTGCTCCTACCCAGTCACTGCACATTGTTTTACGGAGGGGCACAGTTACTGAATTTTAAAACTAGCGTTGGTCACTCACCTTTCCCCCCATTTGGCAACTGCGTGGGTTATCACTCACTACCCAGAATGCTTCCCAGTACTGGTTCCATTTAGTGTTTGGAAGAGAACATGGTATGTTTGTAACAGAAGATGGATCAAAGTGTAACTACATAGGAAATCAGCAACAACTATAATCACAGAATCCAAAGTAAATTCTTACAGATACAGCAGCACTAGTTGGGGATTAACCACGCTACTGCCACCTTTATGAGTGGGGTGCATCTTTAGGACAAAGCCCACTCTGCTTTACAATGCCTCCTTGTCTGGGGGAAAGCAGCTTCCTGTGGAATAGGTTTGGTAGGGTCAGTTCCTAGGGCAGCAAGGGGTTAATTTAGCATTCAGACTGAAAGCACTGCTTGAAACCATTTTCTCATTCTGGGCACGATCCTCCCTGAGGGCAAGGCTGGACACTGCGTTGGCTTTGGGGAGGCAAGAATACTGGTTCTTTGGCCCAGAATGGCTTTGATCGTGTTGGGACTCAGACCTTGCACTGTCCAGGGTGGATCCAGAGCAGATGCATCTCTGCTGCACGTCCCCTGATGCTCAGGTATCCCTGAGAGATTGCTGTGCTGCTGAGATCTGGGACCAGGCCCATGGGTGGTTGTCCCAGACACTCCTCTCCATGGACCTTTCTCTTTGTCCCCAAGCAGCCAACAGCAGGAGTGGCAAGTGCACCTGCCTGCTTCCTTTTCCCATTTGGTCTGTCCTACTTCAGGGTGCAGCCTGGCATAGGACTGGAGCCCACAAACACCCAAGGGGTGAACCTTAGCTGTACTGCGCCGCATATTGTCACAGTCAGTATGTAATGTCCACTGTGCAGCCAGGGTGCGTTGGGGATGCCGGGAATCTGGGCATATAGACCTTACCCCTAGTGACCATGCATATAGCAAAAGTTAATACTTAAATAGCAGAGTACAAAAAGCTATAAAATAATATGGGATGAATGGGTGACATGAACTTATAATAAAGAAATATACCAAAACTATTTCCAGGGGAGAATGAGTTTAGAGCAGGTGCTTCTCAAGGTGTGGTTCCTGGAGCAGCAGGATCAACATCCTCTGGGAGCTTGTTAGAAATATAAACTCTCGGGTCTGGCTGGGTAGCTAGCTCAGTTGGTTAGAGTGTGTTGTGACCTAATACACCAAGTTTGCAGGTTCCATCCCTGGTCAGGGCACATACAAAAATCAACCAATGAATGCATAAATAAGTGGAACAACAAAAATTGATGTTTCCCCTCCCCCCTGTTCTTTTCTCTCTAAAAATTAAGAAATAAAGAAATATAAATTCTCAGTCCCCTCCACCAGGACCCCTGTATCAAACACTGGGGGTGGGCCCCAGCAATATGTTTTCATAAGCCCTCCAGGTGACTCGGACACACTGAGGTTTGAGAACCACTCTTTTAGATGGAGGTAGTGGCATTAGCACGCCTCTGTCAGGGTAGCCACAGGAATTCCTCATTGATGGGTAGTAGCAGCTGGCATCTCTTAGGTGCTCCTCTAAGTCCTGTACCTTCACTGCCTCCTTTAGTTCTCATAAAACCTTACAAAATGGGTTAGGTTTGGCCCTCATTTTACTAGGTCATAGAAATGGGTGCAGTCCAATGGGAGACCTTCTCCAGCCTCAGCTCTGCAGCCAGCTCTGTGACTCCAAGCCAGTTACTTAGCCTAGCTTTGCCTCAGTTTCCTTATCTTTTAAGTTAGTGATAAGGCCTGTCTTAGCTATCCCCACAAGGTTATTGTAAGGATGATAAGACTAAATACCTAGGAATATGCTTTAAAAGTTAGAAGTATATTGAGCACTGGCCTGTGAACCAAAGGGTCGCTGGTTCAATTCCCAGTCAGGGCACATGCCTGGGTTGTGGGCCAGGTCCCCAGAGGGGGATATGGGAAAATGAGCCACACATTGAAGTTTCTCTCCCTCTCTTTCTCCTTCCCTTCCCCTCTCTAAAAATAAATAACATCTTTTTTAAGAGTTAGAAATATTTTTTAAAATGTGTTTTTAAAAATGTGGTGTATTTGATAGTGGGTCCCCTGCGGTGTCCCTTCCTAAGGTGCTGCTGGATGTCCTGAGCAGGATTATACTGGGGTCTCACTGTGCCACAGATTTCTGTCTGTGAAAGGGAAGAGTGTCTGAGGAGAGGGGCGAGGTGGTGGGAGACCAGTGTAGGAGGGTTGCAGTGAGGCAGCTGGTCAGGAAAAGAGAGCGAGTAGTCAAAAACGAGATCTGTTAGAGGAGGGTCTTATAGGAGACAGTGCCACCCCCCAATGCCTGGAGCCCCTTGCAGGGCCCTGGCGCACGGGGTCTGATCGAAAAGGCTGACTGACGCTCTCTCTCCAGAACTCTACTACGACCGTGGGAATCACCATGAATTCGTGTCCCTGGTGAAAGACTTGGCCCGGCCTGGAGAAATCACCCAGTCACAGGCTTTTGACTTTGAGTTCACCCACGTGGAGAAGCCGTATGAGTCCTACACCGGGCAAAATGTGAAGCTCCGGTAAGTCATGCCCCACCTTGCTCCAGAAACTACCAGGTGTGGACTGGGACCTGGAGCTGTCCATATTCCCAGGAGTCTTTGCAAGGGCGTCAGGAAGGAGCCTTCCGAGAGCAGCGGTGTGCTGGTAGATGATTAGCGACAGGCCCGCTGGGAGGGGAGCTTGCAGGGCTGTGGCTGTGTTAGTCTCTGGAGTGCAAAGATTCCAGCCCTGGCCAGTTTCATGCTGCCAGCCGGCCAGCTCAGATTCAGAGCCCCGAGAGATGTCCTGTAACCACCTTTACAGGGCATTTGCATCAGTCTCAGGCACAAATTCCCCCGAAAGCAGAGAATGGCAACATAATTAGGAAGCAATGACTTCTCGGTATGTATTACCTTTGTTTTTAATTTCATTGTAAGTTTATATCATTTAATTTTAAATAATTGCTGTGTTTAACAACTGATTCAAAAAATTCCGGACATTCAGCCGTCAGCCTCCTCCAGGTTCTGCTCCCAGCAACAGTGTGGTCGTGGGCTCTGGCCTCAGCCTTCTCACCAGGAAAGCTGGCCATGGGTCAGATTCTAATTCTAGGTCTGCCCGCTCCATCTTCAGGGGTGAGAGAGAATAAAATGTAACTCTGTAACAAGTCTTAAAAGATTAATGAACACCATTTAAGTACATGGAATCGCTTTTATTGTTCCAGTCTTGAAACTCTGAGGACAGAGACTGATTTTTAGGGCTTCTGGGGTAAGGGGGGAAAAAAAATCCAGAGAAGCTATAGCTTCTTGAATATAACCCTAGATTTTGTTTTTGTAACTGGCAGTTTGACTTCTTCCTCCCTTCTTCTTTTTTGGTCGTCCCCCAGCCCCCTGCCCATCTGTCAACCATCAGTTTGTTCTCTGTGTTTAGGAGCCGGTTTCTGTTTTGTTTGTTTGTTTGCTTTTTAGACTCTACATTTAAGTGAAATCACATGGTATTTGTTGTTCTCTGTCTGACTTATTTTACTTAGCATAATACCCTCTAGGTCCATCTGTGTCCCAGATACAGCAAGACTCTTCTTCTCCTTCTTTCTCCCTGGCTTCCCCAATTCTGTCGGAAGAGTGGAGGTAGGCTCTCCTTTTTCAGTCTTTGCAGAGAGGTCTAAACGTGGACGTTACCCCAACCAAAGACAGTGTCTGGTAATTGACTTCAGAGAAGGCAGCACTTGGTCTTAGCTATGGGGTTTATTTTTCCTTAACTTTGTTTTTTTGCAGTGGATTTCTCAGAAAGATAGGTATTAAAAACAGTATGATCATTTCTTAAAATATTAAAAATAGAATTACCATATAATGCAACAGTTCCACTTTTGGGTACATGTCCGAATGAAGTGAAAGCAGTAACTCAAACAGATAAATGCATACCCATCGCATTCATCACAGCATACTCACAGTAGCCAGAATGTGGGTGCCACTGGAGTGTTGTCCATTGACAGATGGCTGTGTAAACAAAATGTGGACAAAACAACACATACAGTGGAATGTCATTTAGCCTTGAAAAGGCTACAACATAGATGAATCTTGAAGACATGCTAAGTGAAATAAGTCAGTTGTAAGAAGACAAATACTGGATGGTTTCATGCCTGTGAGGCACTTAGAGACATCAGAATCGCAGAGGCAGGAAGAAGAGTGGTGGGGACAGGGGCGGAGGGGAGGAGGAGTGGGGAGTGCTTGTGTGGTGAGTTTCAGCTGGGTAAGTTGACAAAGTTCTGGAGCTGGATGAGAGCAACGGTTGCACCACAGTGTGAATGTATCTACCGCCACTGAACTGTACATTTAATATTGGTTAAGTGGTAAATTTTACATTACATATATTGTAGAGGAGGAAGAAACTTTTTCTTCTACCCATCTTAGGCTCATCGCCGGGCCCTGCAAATTAGACTGACAGAAGACAGATTAGCGAGAGAAAGCCAAACGAGTGTATTCCATGTGCTTGTGCATGCATGTGGAACTCAGTGATGAGTAACTCAAAGGGGTGGTTGAAACTTGGGCTTCTGTGAACATTTACCAGATAAAAATATATTAAATAAAAGTGGCAAAACGAAAGCAGTTTTGATCTTCTAGGGGCAGCAGGTTGTGGGAGGGAACACAGGTGGCAAACCTGGAAGATAAGGGCCGTTTGAGCAAGTCCGTCCATAGATTTTGCTGGGGCGTCTCTGGGCTGATTGGAGTCCAGTGATGTCTCTGGTGACTGAGAATGGCCCGCTGTCCTGGGAAAGGGGGCCAGGGCAGAGTTTTCCTTGTGTCTGCTGCTTTCCAGTTCCTTTCAGCTCTATATAAGCCTTATGCCAGAGTGGCATATTTGGGGGTGGCATACGCTAAGCCCCTTCTTATGTTTTACTGCAGTAAAAAAAAATACAAGAAAGGAAGGTGCTGCTGTACAAATTAGATAAAGACTTTGGGATTCACGTTGAGAAAGAGAAGATGTAAAGAAGGGAAAAAGTTTACAGATGTAAATTGCAGATTAAGGACTTGTATCTTGTTTACGAAAGCTAGGGGAAATGTGAAAAGACCGTCTCGAGCTCTTTTTTCTTCATAGGCAGGGGAGTGGTTCTTTTGGAAGAATTTAAAGTCAGCATGTGGTATTTGATGGGTAGGTAGAGTGTGGAGATAAGACTGTTAGAAGTCTAGTGTGAGGCCCCAAGAGTTTGGACTCGATGGGACCAGGCAGAAAACCAGGAATTTCATACCTCACCAGAATTTACTAGTGAGAGCAGATGCAGACGGGACTGTCAGGAGGAAGAGAGGGTTGGTAGACAAAATGATTCATCCAGTTTTTAGAGTTTGGAGCCCTGGCAGAATAGAGAGGCATAAGAGTTCATGAGATAATTGGAAATACAAGCCTGGTGCCCAGGGATCCACTGTTGGAAGTCATCTGCCCAGAGGTGATCACTGATACACTTTTCAAGGACAGTTAGGACCTCCTGGGGTGGGGCTTAGCTGGAGGGGAAGAGGATTTCAAGGAGGAGGAACTGTTTTACATGCTAACCTAGAACCTGTGCTGAAAAAAGTGCTGCTGGATTTGGCAGCTGGGAGGCTGGGTGTTAACTTCCGGAGAGTTGCGTTTGCAGGGCGGGGAGCACTGATGCTGCCAGGGAGGAAGCTGCAGGCAGCCATTAGGACTGGATCCCTCCGTGAAGGCTGTCTCTGAAGGAAGGTCGGAGTGTAAGGCCTGGGGAGTATTCTGGGGATTAATGATTTGGAGACTTTTATAAACTCCAAGGGAAAAGCCTTCAGCTGGAGAGACATTGGGTATGTTCAGAAAATTGGAAAAGTTGAAGGATTAAGATGCCAGACAAGGCTCCCATGTTAGAATCACTTGGGTGGCTTAAAAAATGTTAATGCTTCTGTCTCTTTCAGACAGTTAAATGGCAGGTGTGCCCAGGCATCAGGATTTTAATAGCCCCTCCCCCAGGTGATTCTGATGTGCATCCAGATGGAGAGTCTTCCTGTCAGAGGGAGGAGGAGAAAAGGTCCTGAGAGATAGAGGTGCTGTTGGAAGGAAAGAATGGGCAAAGATACAGACCCATATAGTTACAAGCACAAAGCAGAGAAGGGAGAGAATTACAAATCTTAACTTGGAAGGCCTTCATCTTCTTAGTATAGTAAAAACAGTGTCTTCCAGTGGGAGGAGGAGTGGAGGCTGGGGAGCCTGAGCACTTAGGAAAGAGTTGGGAACATAGGTCTTGGGAAGTGCGAGGGAAGTCACTGAGGTGAATAAAAAGACTGCCCAGAAGCAGTTAGTGCGCACAGAGGATAGCAGCCTAATGCATTGGATCTGGTTAGCAACTTATCCAGGAGTGCTTGAAGGACTGGGGATTATCTGAGTTGTACTTAGAAGAAACTGTAATTTAAGGGGTGTTTCCTCCCTCCATGGGTATTAGCATAGAGTTAAGTGAAGGGGACAGGCATGCCGGAGAAGGCCACACTGAAGTGGCTGGCTGTAGAGGTCAGGCTTGGCATACTTTCTCATCAACCCCCTTCCCTGAGGACCCGAGTTCAGCCAGAGATTTTCTGTGTTCAAACATACCAAGTCTCTCCCACCTCTGTTGCTTTACTTACAAGGGTTGCTCTCCCAAGTGCCCTTTTCTCTCTCCCAGTGCTTGGTTACAGTATCCAAATCAGCACTTGGCAAGTGTTCCATTTGTACTGTTTACGTGCCCGTCTCCCCCAGCAGTGTGTGAGTTCCCACCGGATGACATCTTTTATGCATCCTGTGCCTAGCAGTGAGCATTCACTGATTGAACAGTTTAGTCTCCTCATTCCCCATTCCTCTCCTTTAGCTGTCAGGAACTTGAAAAAATGCTTCTTGATTGAAATGGACGGCCAAATATACAAGTATGAGGCAGATTCCTGTGCCCAAAGAGCCAGGAGTTGGTTGAAGAAAAAAAAGTAACTCAGATAGTGGTGAGGGCCATGCAAGGCAGAGGAATGCTGTGATACTCAAAGAGGGGCTGGGAGGAAGGGTCTTGGAACTCCCCAGAACTGTGACTGCAAAATGCTGTGTGTACGTGCCCACGTGCATTTTTTTCTGGCAGGAGGGTTCACAGAGGTCATTTCTCAAAGGCATATGAAGTCTCAAAGCCTAACTGCTATTCAAGTGGGTCGATTTGGTGCCTTCACCTAGGTAACATCTGGAGGCAATGGGTGTCCCTTCACAACACATCCATGTTCTCCAGGTATTTCCTTCGAGCCACCATCAGCCGCCGCCTCAACGATGTAGTCAAAGAGATGGACATCGTGGTTCACACGCTCAGCACGTACCCAGAGCTGAACTCCTCCATCAAGATGGAGGTTGGGATCGAGGACTGTCTGCACATTGAGTTTGAGTACAACAAGTCCAAGTAAGTGCCCAGGCCCCAGCTTGAGGGAGAACTGCTCAGGGAAGTTGAGGTAGGGCCTGATCCAAACACACAGGGAGGGAAGCCCCCCTGGCCTCGGCGAGTTGGCGGTGATGTGCTGGGGGAGAGATCACAGGAGGGAAACATGGAATGGCTGTGCCTGGCTAAAGGCAGGCTGCCTGGGAGATAAAAACTCATTTGACTTAAACCAAACTGTATTAAATTAAGGTACGTTTAAGTTAAACATCCTATGATCTCTTTCCAAGTCACATAAACCTAGCTTTAAGGCTATTTGTTTTGGATTCTAGGTACAGCTGTTTCCTTCTGCTGCTGAGAATCATCTCAAATCCCATTCTATTCTCATCTGTCTCCTGTGTACATACAGTGTGTCTTTAGAAGGCACAGTGAGGAAACTAAACACCAGCCACAGTTTGCTGCTTCCTCTCCAAACTAAACTGAATTGTAGCAAAGAATCCTGATGGCTTTTCAAAAAGGCCTTTAAATAATTTTAACTGCCAAATTGGGAAGGCATATATGTCTTAAACTGGGTTTACTGTTAGAACATAAAAATATATGAGCTTATAAATTGAAACATGAACAGTTCAAAAATGTACCACAGAATCTTCCTTTTCAGTACAATACATTCTCAAAAATGTTTGGAAACCAAATGTGCAAAAATTAAAGTGTATTTGTGCAGAGAGACCCTTACCACAGACCCACTGCCATCCAGAGTTCCGGGCAGAGGGGGCTAAACTAAGCCAGATGGCTCCCCTGTGGAGAGATTGGGAACAGGTGTTTTTACCACCAAGACTATATGTGCTTCTTAGAACAGGGCAAGGAAAAGGTGTGTCCTTTCCCCTGCTCTCTGGCTGGGAACCAAGTGGGGTGTCAGTAAAATGATCACTAAGACCCAGAGTGCGGCCTGGCTCCACCTGTGGAATGGGCAAGGCCATGTGGAAGGACCGTCGCTCTGAGGCTGGCAGGTACATGTAAGGGAACAGGCTTCTTCCCCCTTCTCAGCTTTGGGCTCTGTGGGCCTTCTTGATAAGGAGCCACCAAAGTGCTTGCCCACCCATGTCCCAGCCACCTGACAAAGCGGGTGACTGCCAGGCAGTACCAGCTTGTGGGAGCTCAGAATAGCCATCAGCCAGCAGTGTGTTACAGGACCAGACTTCTTACATGAAAGGCACTGAGAGTCATTTACGTGCTGTCAGGACTGGATGCTCCCAGGTTCTGGCCCTGTGCGCCCGCAGGCCACACTGTGTGAGAGTGCATAGTCTGTATGTCATCACAGGAAGAGCCTGACACTTGGAATCAGGCTTTCTGCTGCTGCTGAGGTCTGGGGCTGAGGTGAGCAGGTACTAAAATTTTTGTACCTTTGGTTCCTAAAAAATTAGGGGCTTGGATTAGGTTAGTGGGTTTTACACACACACACACACACACACACACACACACACATATACACACACGAAGGGTGAAGTGGAAGAGGAGCTGGGAGCCAGGGCTCCAGACCCTCCCCAGAGGAGCTTTCATGTTTCTTACATGTTGACGCTGCTGTGTGAGGTTTTATTCAGAATAAAGGCACGTTCAATTCATGAAAGATGGAAACCCCTTAGAATTTATTTCCAGAATGCTAAGTGGCCTATATTCGCTTTTGTAAATGTTCTTACTTCCCTACTCAGAGTGTCTACAGTCTTCCCAGTTAGATCCTTTGCCTAAAGCTGGAATGAAATAATAGAGAGAACAGGAGCTTAGGAATGAGGAACTTGGGTTCACATCCTGTTTCTGTCCCTTATTCAGATCCTGGTTATTTACCTTCTTTGAACTTCCTTTTCTTCACCTGTCATATAAGGAGATTAAATTCTAAAGTCCCTGCCAGCACTCATCCTCTGATTCTGAACAGCAGGTTAGGAGTTTTCCTCTACGCTCACCACGCTGGATGTAGGGCTATGCATATACCTGACCCAGGCAAAGGCACTATGCAGTATGGCTGGTTCCTGACAGCTCCCAGAGCACCATCCTTGTGAGCACAGCCCAGAGAGAAGGTGGGGTTGGGACATGACACGTGCTTCTTGCTCTGCTGCTCCCGCCTGGCCTGCCAGGCCCTTAGCACACTAATGAAGCCTATTTGCTGCCGCCATGAGGCTTAGAGAGAAAGAGCAAGACTTGCCTTCTGCATTTGTGGGATGGGCCTCTCACACCTTAGGACATCTTAAAAACGCATACACAAATACAAAGTGTATAAAAGAAGTTACAGTACTGAGCAGATAGATAAGATGAGCTAGCATGAATGGGTGATACAACATGCAGGAGAATCATCCTGAGTTGTATATGGAAGAATGGAAGGGACAGAAGTTACTTTGATTCAAACAAAGAACCAAAGGGCAACCCTAGCTGGTATAGCTCAGTGGATTGAGCGTGGGCTTGTGAACCAGAAGGGTTGCTGGTTCGATTCCCAGTCAGGGCACATGCCTGGGTTGCCAGCCAGATCCCCAGTAGGGGGTGTGCAAGAGGGACACTCCCTCTTGCATCAGTGTGCAACCACACACTGATGTTTCTTTTTTTCTCTCTGTCTCCTCCCCCCTTCCCCTCTGTCTATAAAAATTAAAAAAAAAAAAAATTCAAAGGGCCCTGTAAACTGAATCGTGGGGTTCAATCCTGCTCAGGGCACACGTGGTCGGGATGCATGTGAGAGGCAACTGATTGATGTTTTTCTCTTGCATCTGTGTTTCTGTCCCTCTCTCCTCCTTCCCCTCTCTCTAAAAGTCAATGGGCATGTCCTCCAGTGAAGATTTAAAAAAAAAAACCAAACCATAGGAAATTAGGCAGCAGTAGCAGTGTGGGTGGGAACATGGGCAAGGGTGCACAGTGAAGCCATTTAGCCAACATGCAGGACAGACCAAGCATCCATGAACGTACAAAGGGTTGGCTACTTACACACATTTTATTTCTTCTCTCTCTTCCCCAGATACCACTTGAAAGATGTCATTGTAGGGAAGATATACTTCCTACTGGTGAGGATCAAAATCAAGCACATGGAGATAGACATCATCAAGCGGGAAACAACAGGCACAGGCCCCAACGTGTACCACGAGAACGACACAATAGCCAAGTATGAGATCATGGATGGAGCACCCGTGAGAGGTGAGCCCTGTGGCCCCCAGTCACCGCACCTGCCCTCCCAGCCCCTGCACAGGACTTTGGAGGGGCCTGAGGGATTGACCTGTTAAAGCAAGATTTCTATTGACCTATAATTTCTTAGTCTCTGATTGGACACTTGGGATCTCAATAAGCAGGAAAAGGAGGGCTGAGTCTGTGAAACTCCAGATTCCTACCCCACCTTCACCTGTAGGAGCTCCACTTCTGCCTTGCTTACATAGTGGGCTGCTACTGGAGATTGAATGTCAGGAGTTATGCCTGTTAAAAAAAAAAGTTTGCAAACTGGTTTGAACATTTTGTTACTTTTGCCTATTGACATTCTGACATTCTTTGCTGCTAGGAGCCAAGAGATTAATACAGAATAGTCATTTTTGTTACGTCTAGCTCTGGTAGAGTGATTAATTTTCAGCATCCCATCTCCATGTATAAACACTCTGGCCAGCACTACCGGGGCTACAGACAGCCCCGGGAACAGGACTCAAACTGGTCTTCCCCGGCCCCATGGAGCTGACCCTGCATCTGGGACAGGCAGGGTTCGGTGCTCTGCTTGGGAACCCGTGTGATTATTTGGGAGTAGCCATCTCTTAGGCTCTTTACTGGCTCTGCAAGTTTCTCATTTAGAAGTGTGTGGTGATGCCAAGCTTTTTTCCAGTGTGTTCCCACAGGCTGTTGCATGCAGAAGGAGGGTGTCATCGACTTAGCAGCCCCGAACACTGGGGACAATGACAGCGTATCCTTGAGTATCACCAAGTCAGATCCTTGGGGGGAGAGGACTGAGCTCTCCAGTGTGTGTTCCATTTTTTCACCAGCTGTGCAAATACAGCCAGTCATCATCTTCCCTGTACGAATGAAATGGGTCAGTGAGAAACAGTGCAAACAGCAGATAATTAAAAGATCACTTATATTTAGCCTTAGACTGCATTATAGGTTTGGCCTTTCCCAGTGGAATTACTGCCCTGATTTTGTTCCATTTACACTAGGAAAGGCTTGACATTAGAACTGGTGGGGATCTAAAATATTTCGTAGCCTATTTATAGTTTTCCACATGAGAAAATTAAGGTCCAGGGAAATCAACAGACTTGCTGGTTAATGAAGAACTTGGACCAGAATGAGGATTTGTTGTTTCCCAGACCATTATGCCATCTTGCCACCCCATCTTAGAGTAGAGGTGTTTTTTGGGGGCATGCACTAACTAGTTAGGATGGAAGGAGGTGGTACTGAAATTGCTGGGTGACATGATGAGTTTGCTGATGTTTGACAATTGGCTGTTAAAAACCCAACAACTAGACACATTACATGTGATTCAAAGATGGTGGACAGTGATGCCCCTGTGCTGGTCACCAGCATGCCACACACTGGCCTTCATGTGTGGGTGGTGAGAGGACATGCAGGAGACCCAGCTGGACCTGGAGTGGGATGGCAGAGCCTCACTGTTGTTTCAGCAAGTCACTGGTTAGTGGAAGGCAACTTCTCAGCAGGCAGAAACAGCCTTGTCCTAAGTGTCCCAGGCCATGCTCAGATGGCATCTCCCTCCCCTGGCTGTCCCACTCCCAATTTTGCAGTGCCTGGGTGTGAGGCAGAGCAGCCACTTTATCCTTGGCTCTGATTCCTGCCTGGCCTTTACAGGAGAGTCCATCCCAATCCGGCTCTTCCTGGCAGGCTATGAGCTCACCCCCACCATGCGGGACATCAACAAGAAGTTCTCGGTGCGCTACTATCTCAACTTGGTGCTGATAGACGAGGAGGAACGGCGCTACTTCAAACAGCAGGTGAAGCCTGGGCACCTCCTCCAGACCCCTGGGGGCCCTACCAGCAGAGCAGGAAGGGCATCGTCCTTGCGAAGGTCAGGCTCCGCTCCTGCAGGTGAAGCAGTACAGTGGTAGTCTCCATGCCACTTGTCTGTTTACGCAGAGGTGGAAACCATGGGTTACTAGCGTCCCATGACAAGAATGAGGGTTCCCACTGGATACCTAGTCTGCTTTCCTGGACCCATCCCCAGTGAGCAGTCTGCCCTTCCAAGCCCAAAACACCCACAAGAGCCCTGGGATGGGGAGTGGACAGCTGCTGTCTTTGCTGAGACATGCAGAGGAGGATTTTGCCCAGCATCCCCAGGAGAAAGGTGGAGCCTCTGGGAAACCCACCCCCATGCCTTCCTCTCATGTGTCATGTTGCCCCACTCCCAATTTTGCAGGAAGTGGTGTTGTGGCGGAAGGGTGACATCATACGGAAGAGCATGTCCCACCAGGCAGCCATCGCCTCACAGCGCTTTGAGGGCACAACGGCCCTGGGTGAAGTGCGGACCCCCAGCCAGCTGTCAGACAACAACTGCAGGCAGTAGGCCCCCAGGGCCAGGGAGCTGCTGGGCTCCCACCCAGCACCCCTGTCTATCAAACACCAGCGGCTGAGGGAAGGGGAGGAAGGTGTGATGCTCAGCTGACCCATTACTTGCAACCTGAAAACAAATCATGTTTTTGACTTAAATTCTTTTTTCTGAAGAACCTTAGGGGCTTGAGCCAGGAAGCAGTCTCCCAGGGTTCTGCAGCTGATGTGGGACAGCGAGGTGGCATCCTGAGAGCCAGTGTCTCTCTGGGATTGGAGCCTTCACCGAGGCCCTGTGCAGGGGCCTCACAGCAGGCGGGGGGACAGGGCGCCAGCATCCTTGGCTCCAGCCTTCCAGCTTCCTGACATAGGATCTGACCATGTCCCTGGGATTCTGAGCTGCCAGCAGGGCCCCAGGTAGTCACATCTTGTCCCCACCTTTGTCCCTAAGGTAGTGGCAGGAGCTGGGCCTGCCCCACCCTACATGACCAAGGGGAGACTCGAGATTAGGAAGCTACCTCTCTGGGAGTCGGATGTGGTGCTTTCCACAAGCCACCTCCTTTCTGGCCTTTTTCTCCCTGCTGAGAGCCAGGCACCCCCTTCTCCATCTTGTATGGATTCTTGTCACTAACATCTTGGGGCAGAAGCCTGCAGAAGGGCCTCTGCCTCATGTCCCCTCATCTGTAAGGAATCCTGGCACAGAGATTGCTCACACAGACCCCCTGAGGTCAGTGTCACGTGTGGGTAGCAGCAGAGACAGACACAGGAGGCCATGACAGCCCATGAGGCAGAAGGATGCTCAGTGCATGGTAGCTGTTTGTCCCCACCACGTACCTCCCCTCGTCAGCCCTAAGGGTCCTGCGGGTTAGGGTGTTCTGGGTGCCCCAGCAAGCCTAAACAAGGGCATCTGTCTCCTTCGAAAACAGATTCTAGGAAGGTGACTTATCTCTTTGCTGCCCTAAGAATGAATCCTCATCACTCCCTGGTCTCTATTTAATTTCTGAGAATTGGGGCTGGGTTTCAAACAGTGGAAATCTGCTCTATGGCCCCATCCCCTTCACTCCTTACCTAAACCTGAAAGGCAGAGGAGCTCGATGAGGCCCTCAGCAGAATATTGCTGCACAACTTCGAGTAACCCTGCTTGCCTGTTGCGTCCTCACCCTCATCGGTTGACCACAGTGTAGGACTGCTGCTGTTGTCTTTGGAAACATGTTACAGGAACTCTCATGGCTATTTCCTTCCTCAGGAGGGGGGTCCCCTCTGCTGCGTTGCCCCGGGCCTGTTGTAGTAACAGTGTCAACGTCCTGTCCTGCCTCACCTGGAGATGACCAGAAATGACTCTCCTGGTGGCCTGCCTTCCCTTCTGGGAAGACACGCAGGCCCTGCTGGCCAGTAAGGGCTATACTGGATGGTCTGGGTTCTCTGATTTGGAAAGCAGAGGGGTTGGTTCCTGTGTCACTTTTCAGTTAAGTGTGGAAGACACGGATGGCTCTTCCTGAAAATTCTGCACAATCATGGGCCTTTGACTGAGCAGGGCTTGTGGATTAGATCCGAGACTGGAGGGAAAGACATTTGGGATATCACTTGGGGTCGACTGGGGACAGCAGTGCCAAGGTAAAGTGGTATCCCCCATGCCTGGCCCCGAGCTCAGGTGCAATGGACAGTGGCCACGGAAACAGGATCATCATCCAGCGGTCCCTGGATTTTCAAGATTGGAGCTGAAGTGTGTGGGGAGGCAGGTTCTGTGGTCCTTACCTCTTTCAGAGCATGAGACTAAGCTCTGGTGTGCCTCCCATAATAGATGATCTAACTGGAAAGGATCTGTCAACTCCTCTGCCTCCCACCTGACAACACAAATTCATTTTCCAAGTTTCTTAACATCGTAAACCTTTCTTCTGGGAGAACTAGAAGATAGAATTTGCTTTTTTTCTCTCAGGAACTGTGCACAAGCCAGATCTGATTTTTCCTACTCTGCTCCATTCTCCACTTACTGGTCCAACTGTGGAAGTGAGGGGAGGCTCCTGTCCCCCTCTGTTAAAGGTCCCCACACTTGGGAGTGCATAGGTACTAAACCAAGCAGTGCAACTTGTAATTAAGCAGCTGCAGTGTTTACATGTTTCTTAATGTATTGTCTTTTCAATGGCTGTATTTTAAAAAACACTTGTTTCAGTTGTTTCTCTGATTAAAGGAAGCCCCTGTGGCTTGGAGGCATCGTGCACATGGTCCACAAGGTTCTGGGTCTTTTCTGATTTACACTGTTGCACCTTGCATGCAGACTCCCACTGTAACCAGCAAAATGCCTGCCCTTGCTATGTGTGGCCCCTGGTGAATAAGGGTGGGTGCTTTAATACCATGTGTTTTAGCAAGCACGTGGCTGAGAAGCAAATTCTGGTCTAGCAACCTGCCCTGAACTGCTGCACAAGTTACCAGACAAATAAAACCATTCGCCTGTAGAGTCAGCTCCATGGCCAATCTTTAATCCAAGTCCAACCTTCAGTTCCAGCCCTGCACATTCTTACTGCACCTGCCTTGCTGTAGAGCCAGTGGGGGCTCATATCTGCAATAATGCACAGTCTAGGACAGACTGCAAATCAACCTCATTTTGACAAAAATCTTAAAAGCATGTCCTTGGTGCCACTGCTTTTTCACCTGTGCTTAATAATTTTATCCTGATAAAATTACTGGTTTAAATCTCTGTGGGGCCCACGTGACCCCAGGGGCAGGTGAGGAAGGCCGGCATGAAAAGACAAAGGTTCGCTTCAGTGGGTCTTAACAGACTGCATCCCACATGCTGATGTTTGCCACAGTGAAGGAAGCTGATGGAGGTGGCCCTGCACACCGCCAAGGGGCGAAAGAGCAGCCTGGACATAGAAGACCCACAGTGGAGGGTTATACTACACCCAGTGCTGTTGTAAAAGAACAGCTCTCCAACTTGAGATCAGGGTTTTATTGAGAAAAGTACAAACCTCGAATGAACATAACAAGCAAGTCTCACATCTGCTGTCTTACAAGAGCTTCATTTCTTCGGAGTAATGCCTTGCCCATCCCAGCAGTATCTCAGTCAACTTGGTTCCTTTTCCTCCAGGCTCAAAATAAAATCAAACTCCTCTACCAAAAAGAGTAAATAAAAAAAAAGGAAGAATTAGGTCTGTGTCTCCTCTTGAACAGGGAAGTTGTGCTGGGCATCGCTCCGGTTAGAGGCAGGTGGTCTTCATTCAGAAACCTGTCATGGAGGGTGACTACATGCCAAGCACTGTTGGGTACTGGGTACATGGTAATGGGCAACGCGGGATGTGTTTCCTTCTGCAGAGATGCTGCAGGTGAGGAGACGGACTCAGGTTAAGTCCTGTGCCAAGTGTAACCTGTTAGTGAGTGTGAACTGCCAGTGTCACCCTGGCTTGCAGGTGAGGAAGCAGGGGGCCTGCGCTTACCTTGGGTCAGGGGCTGAACTGAGAGTCTCTGGAGGGTAAAGAGTGCCATGTTTTTTAAAGGCCCGCCAGTGGCTTTGTGAGCTTGGTGAAGGGTTTTGAGTTCAGCCAGGGGAAGGAAACGCTTCATCATCCGGACAAACTGCACATCCACCTGACAACATGACAACAGCATGTGGGGCAGAAAGGCCCAGCTGGACTCTGTCCACTCTGTGTTCCAGTTGCTGCGGAAGGTTCCTGTGGGCAGTGCTGCCAGTGCTCTGCTCTCTCCAAAGTCAAGGGAACCACTTCCGAGTCGGCTGAGCTCTGTACCTCGACCCAATCAGACCCCAGACCTCCTTCCTCCCTTTGTCCAGCCTTCCCCTCGTGAAATAGGAAAAACAGTAGTCCTTACCATGGACCACTTGGGGTTGTCTTTTTTGCTGGATGGATCGTAATAGGGACTGCTTTTCTCAAACTGGGTGTGGTCTGGGTAAGCCTCCTTCACAATCTGCAACCAGAACCACAACCACATCTCCAATCACTCGCCTGTAGGGTCAGCTCCATGGCCAATCTTTAGTCCCAGTCCAACCTTCAGTTCCAGCCCTGCATTTTCTTACCCCACCTGCCTTGCTGTAGAGCCAGTGGGGGCTCAAGTATCTGCAATAATGCGCAGTCTAGGGCAAACACGACATCAACCTCATTCTGACAAAAACCTTAAAAGTATGTTTTTGGTGCCACTGCTTTTTCACCTGTGGATAATAATTTTATCCTGATACATCTTCTGGCTCGGAAGAGCTACCATCAGGATTGTCTGCGGTGAAAGACCAAGGTGTAGAAATGGAGGGAAGCCTGCCTGTGGGACCTGAAATGGAGGCCTGTTCCTGTAATCCTCGTCACACAGGAAGGGGCCCGGGCAGTTTTCCCATAATACTGAGCGCAGGGACAGGGAGGAGGATACTTTTTTCCTTACCTACTTAAGCTATATCACTATGTACCTACATGTGGAGAGGGGTACAGACCAAAGCCTGTACAACTAACCTTCACAACTCCTGCGATGCCTGGCTCTTTGCAGTTGCTATGGTAGAAGAAGGCTTCTTCCTCCAGCTTCATGGCTCTAAGGAAGTTCCGGGCCTGTCCCAGGAGAGAGGAAATAAGAACTATCGTCTCTACCAACTGGAAAACACCAGCTGTTAGCAGAAAGCAACTCTGCTTTTATTAAATGAGTGTTTCTTTAGCAGTTTCCTCCAATTCAGTTCTTGCTTTTTGCCAAGATACCCAGACTTGCATCAGGACACTGGCTAAAACACATACCATTTGCAAATTGCATGCCCTCAGAATAACTATGGTGTTTTTTAGTACATTTTTAGCTTGGGTTCTGGGAAAAATCAGCCTTGCCCCAGAGAGTTTGCCCCTGTGTAACTCATGAGGAGGAGGCAGGGACCGACCCCACTCTGGCCCTCACCTTACCTGATAGTTGCGAACACCATCCCAGCATGCTGTCTGCTTGGGCTCTGCTTTGAGATCCTCAATGCTGAACTAGGTGACAGGAAATAAAGCCATTCCTTAAATAACCCTGGGTCAATTGGTAAGGATATATGGAAACCGACCACTGCTTCCTGTACACCGGGAATACTACTGGCTACAGTGGGAGGATGTAGTTTACTTGGAAACAGCTCTACAGAGGCACTTGTTTTTTCTTTTTGTTTTTCCACCCAGCAAACTTTACTGAGTAGTTACAATGCATGACACTGCATAAAATGCTACACCTGCAATAATTAGACATGACTGTTGTCCCCATAAAGTTTACTGTCCATTGGGGGTAATTTTTTGTGAAAAACATTATGAAACAACGTAAGTAGAGTTTCCTATAGAAGGACATGGAAGAGGCAATGACATATGTCTCAGGTAATACATATGAATGGTCATGTTAATACACTTTTCATGAGAGAAAAGCACACCATTTTTTCGTATTTTTGTGCCTTGAAAACTAAGTATTAAGGTATTAGCTCATTTCAAGGGCTACCTGAATACAGAACTCAATCCAGCTCCTTGTCCTTCCTGTTACCAGGTGGGCAAAAGCAGGTTCACGGTTGTTCATATGGGAAATAATACAATAATTAATAAACAATAATACAAAAATAAACTACAGAAGCACTTGTATTGGGTGAGTGTAGTAAGCTTTGTGTTAACCTTAACTGTGCTAATTAAGAGGATTAGTTGAATGGATAATCCAGAGCATAAAGCAGTCTGTTGGTTATTTTTGTTTCATTTATTAAATATTATCTATTCTATTAACATTTCTAATTATATTTTCTCTGGGCTATTATTAAAATTGGTTTGCGTGAATTCCCTGGGAATGTGCCAGGAGGCAAGAAAAAGGCAATCTAAGATTGAAATGTCTAGATGAGGGGCTGGCACAGTACCACTTCCACAAGTCTAGCCCTAAGCCTGATGTTGTGGATCCTGTTTTATAGGAACCTGGCCACCATTTGTTCATCTTTGGCTCGGACAACTTTCTTGCAACAGCTGAGCTGCAATGGCAACTCTAAGAGCAAGGAGCCTAAAATATTTAGCATCTGGCCCTTTACAGAGAAAGTTTGTCACCTCTCCCCTAGCTAGAAAATTTACAAAAGAGATAGTTGATGGTAACAAATCCTGCTGGTTTTATTCCTCATTACCTTTTCCCTATCCTTCAAAGATATGAAGCTGGTAATGGAACCCTGTGGTGTCCATATTAATTTTTTATTTTTTAAAAAACTTGAAGGCATTAGAGACAGGAACATGATCTCACCTTCACATCCACACCTTTCTCTAGTCGGCTTTCTGGCTCTGACTTCATCAGCCAGTAGCTGCTTAAATTCTTCCCACATTTTTTAAGGGCTGAAGTCCTCTGAGGGCTGGAGTTCTCCACTTCAGCTGATGCCTCACTTGCATTCTTAGTCTTGGTACGCTTTCCTGCTGGTCCCTTCTTGTCTGCAATAGGAGAAGCAAAAAGAAGGGAGCTGTCACACTTGCTGAGAGGTAATGTTCCACGGTGGAAGAAGCATATGTTTGGAGTCGGACTGGATTCAAATCCTGGATCTGTCAGTTACCAACAGTGGCAGCTTACCTGCTGAACTTATTTCTATAAAAATGGGACAATAATGCCTACCTTACAGGATATCTCTGGACTATCTATTCAATGGGATAAGAGTACCTTACATGGTTGCAGTTTTAAATGAAAGGTCCTAGCTGAGTACCTGGGCATACATTAAGTAGTCAATGTTTTTCCTTCCCTCACCCACTCCTGTGTCTTTGCTGAGGCTGTTCTTCCCAATGAAGAAAGTAAACCCCTACTCCATGGCCTTGTTTTGAAGATTAATTAATATAATAGAAACAAGGGGCTTAAGACAATGCCTGACTTTATAATAAATAATAAAAATTAGCTATTACTGTCATCATCATTTCATACTTTCCTTCTAGATCACTGCTTTTATGGCCTGCCTCCTTTCTGCTGATGGCGCCAAGAGAACCTGGATGAAGCAACTCATTCAGTACTTTACACAGACATGATAAAGACTGGATTTTATCCTAAGTGAATTAGAGAAAATGTGTCTGGAACACAGTAGGAACTCAGCAGCTAAGTTATTAAATTCTTACTACGTGGCAAACCCCTCTGTTACCCTAACTAATTCTGTTAATCCATCTAATTTATGAGATGTTTTATTCATCTGGAAAATGTATCCCAGGTGACATAACTGGTATACGGTAGAATCAGGAACCTGTCACTCTGGTCTATCTGAATCCACACCTAATGACTATTCTACACAGCCTCTGAATGAAGTTAAAGTGGTCATCATTAAATATCATTTCTGGATGTCTACATCTCCGAACCTTCCTAGCGGCCCCTTTAGAGTTAATAGGTACACTGAACACCATGTGTTGTTAAATAACACTGTTGTAGTCGATCTGGAACCCTTGCCGTTCCCCAAAAAGGTATTTTCTCTACCTTGAATTGCCTTGTTACTGCTATTCCTCCACTCAGTGCTATTTATCTTTGTGAATATAAAAATGACACCTTGTTTTCTTTGCATGTGTAAAGCCTCTCATTTTTTAAGGCTGGACTCAAACTCCTCACAGACTTCTCCGTAATTCCTGCCTGCTGCTACACACCTAGCAATCCAGAGTCTTAGATCCTTTCACTTATGTCTGTTTGCATTCTTCCTTAAAGTAGGAACTGTACGTGCCAACCTACATCACAAATATTTGTTGTGCTTACCAAACAACTATTGCCTGAATGAACAAACGAACAGAAAGGGCTCTGGGCATACGCTTGGTATGGAGTAAAGAGAAAATGAAGAGCAACTAGGGATAACGCAAAAAATAATACACAAAGGATTCTCCCCACAGGCAGGAAGTTGAAAGGGAACAGTATTAAACACCCTAGAGAAAAGTCTTCTGTGAGGCTGCCTTTTTGCAACCTAGGTGCAAGCTCACCTTGCCCAGAAACCCCAGCCAGCCTCTTCCTCGGTCTCGGCATGGTCTACCTGTACCGGGTTGAAGAGCAGAAGACTCTGGAATCTACAGTGATACAAGAGGCAACTCTGTATCTGCCCCCAGAAACCTGCGCAGAGCAAGATGGAGACAATGAAAGGGAATTTAGAGTGTTTCAGCTCCGAGGCTCCTTTGCGAAGCACACAGACAACTGGGTTTCAACCCTGCAAATCTTTCCTCCCATTATCTACGACCCCATTTCCATCTCGCGTAACCTGCCCCTAAACTCCACGGATTTGCCCTCGACGCTGGGTTCACTCGTTCACCGCTTTCTCAGAAGCCTGACCCACCGCTCCGCAGACAGGACCCCAGCCAATCTCCCGGATGCGCTTTCAATTTGCTCTCTCGTCTCCCCCCCCACCCCAGCCCCGCGGGTCTCTGGGTGTTATAGTCCTTACTCCAGGCGCAGACCCGCCTGAACTTAGGGGGGTGGGGGTGGAAGGACGGGGCGGCGAACTACAACTCCCAGAGTGCACTACAGACCCCCCCAGGGCGCGCGGTGCGGGTCGGGATGCGGGGTTGAGGGCGGGGCCGCCAAGCTGGGGCTTAGACAGCCGCGCTTGCTTACGCGCTTTCGGTCCTCTGCTGCTCCTGGAACTGCTGGAATGTGGCGGAGCGGCTGCCGGCGCCTCGGGGCGTGGCTCTACTGCCCTCGCAATGGTCTCCGGGTCCCCGCCGACAGCGGCCGCCGACGCTTGGTCTCCTGCATCGACCGTAAGGCTCACCCGGGGGAACAGGTGTTCGGGACCCGGGCTGGGGCCGTGGTCTCCGCGCCCTTGGAGCGCTCTGTCACTCCGAGGAGGTCGGCACCGCCTTCACACCCGGGCCCGCTCCCTCTTCTACCCCCATTCCCTTTTACGCCCTCTTCCATACTTCCAGCAGGTCACCCCCGGTCTGGCTTCTCCCCCTGGCCGCTATCCTATCTACCTGGGGGGCCTTGAAGCCTTTCACTCTTTCTGACCTCAGTCCACCTGTTGCACCCCTGGTCCTCGTCAGCTACACCACTGCCCCGCCAGCAAAGGACCTGGATGTGAAGCAGGCTCCTGAAACGCGTGACCCAGGCCTTTCACTGGGTGCGGAGCCCTGTCCTTTCTCCGGTCCACCCCACCCCTCCACAGCTCTGATTTCCCACCCCGGCGCCACCAGCATTTTCAAACAAGCACTGCCTCGCTCTTTAGTCAGGGGCACTGACAATAGCTGTCTGGTGTGAATTAATCAAAACTATACCTATTTTTTCAAAACCATACCTATTTCTTGGTCAGATTGGCAAAAGTATGTATTTTTGGTGTGCCACAGAATATTAGTAATTAGTTTGTGTGTGCTGTGGAATGAACAAGGTTGAAAATCGCTTCTCTAGAGGAACTTGGAGATTCTTGTCTGAAACTGCCTTTTTACCGCCTGGAGACCCTGCAGCTAATACAGCTTAATCCTTTTTGTTAATACTATGTGTTCCTTTATTGTTCAGACCTTCCTTAAACTTAGTTGATGTTATCAACCTCTTGACGTCGTTTCATAGGTTTACTTATGAAATGAGTACAATAACTAAGCACTTTACATTTATCCTCACAACTCAGACACATTGTTATGATTCCCACTTTTAGACAATGAGTGATTGCTTAGAGAGGTGCAGAAACTTGTGACTTAGTTTTGTTTTTTTTAATCATAACAATAAGTCAAAAAGACAGTAAGAATGTAAAGAGTGGTTGGTGCTGGTGACAATAGATGAGAAAAAGCTCCAAGTAATACAAATTTACTCATGTATTTAGATTTTATAAATTTACACCTATAGCTATAAAACACTTTTACTGTTGAAATTCCTAAAGAAAAAAATATATTGCAAGTGGGGAACTACCAGCATTTACAGACCTGAAGGTCTTTCGGGACCAGGCAGGTGACCTGGATGGGAATACCAGGGAGGGGTCAGAAGGACCTCCGCTGACCAGGAAATCCCCAGCCACTTCGTGCCTCCGTCAAGCACCTAACCCCTTTTTCATTTGGAAATTCGTTTTTTTTTATTTTAAATAAATGACACCTCTTTTTTTTTTTACAGTGGAATAGTCTGTGAATACCCTTAGACTGATACTCAGCTCTAGAAAGTACACTGAGGTGTGGAATTCGGTTTTCTCCTCAATACCCAGCACTTCACAAGGAGCTGCCCTCATCTAGTGTTAGAACTTGGTACACAAGGTCACCCTCAGGCAGAGCAAAGCGGATAGGAAGTAGTTCTGTCAACCAGAAGGTTAAGTAGGCGTATTTCTAGCAGCCAGCAGTGTAGCTTCAGCCAATGAGGTACTTGTTCACATTTTTAAAATAAATTATCTTTTAAATAGTAAAATAAAAGGAAATGGTCCTTTCAATATATTGTCCTACTTGTTAAAATGTCAAACTAATGGAAGTGATCAACAAATATTTCTCATTGTTTCATTGCACATTTTAATGTGAAAAATAATTTTAAGAAAATTGTGATTTTATATTTCAATATATATTACACACATATAATTTCCTCATTTTGCAGGTAGTGTCATTTTGCAAATGAGGAAATGTATTCAATGTCTAGTGGAGCCCCTCAGTTGACAATGCAATAGCTAAGTTGACAGATGTACCAGACTTACTGGAAAATGCACAATTAACAATTTGAGAACCAGAGTTCAAATGACTATTTCCTTGACCAGTGCACTTTCACTATAACTTGCTGCAATTTCCCAAGCATTCCTTGAACACCAAGTTCTTAAACAGAACCATTGATTCTGTACATTGGATGCCTTTAAAGATTAGTATACTATTTGAACTTGTTCTCTGTGCGTTTTCACCTCTTGAGCTTCTGCTGCTGCACAGTGGAGACTTTCCTTCTCTCACTGGGACCCTTTTCTGCATAGCTTTGCCACTTTAGTGTGTATGTGCACATCGGTGGTGTGCGCTGGCTCCTCGACCCCCACCCATGACTTCACGAGGTTTCTCTTTTGTTTTACAGTGTATGTTTTCTGGAAATTTAGGTATTTTTAATTAGTAACCATGATATCTTGTGTAGATTTTGCTTTTTAACTTGTCTTTTCCACTTTTTTCCTCCATGTAATGCTTTCCTGTCATTAGTATCCCTTTAGCTAAAAATATCTGTTGTCTTTAAAAATATATCTATGTTGTATTTACTTATACATGATTTGCATAGACCTGTTCCCTGTTATTTACTTGGGATGCCATTAAAATCTATTTTTTCCTTGAACTACTTGTTTTACTGTCAAATACTATTAATAACAATAACAATAATAGTAACTGTGAACATTTATCAAGCTCTTTCTGGGACTGAAATTCTGTAACACTTCTCTTTACACAGTAAGATGTGTGCAGCGTTACCATTTATGTCGTCCTTCCTGTGGATGGGCTGGGGTCGTCTCTGAAATCCTGGCGCTGCTCCACAGTAGACATCAGCAAGCACCCTTGTGTGAATGGTCCGTGAGCCATGGTCTACACGGCCTTTCTGCAAGGTTGTGCAAATGAGTGGCCAGACTCCTAGCTGGGGAATCATGAATTGCTTCCCCCTAACGATGTTCCTGAGGATAACACCTAAGGTGCCTGTCTGCTCTAGACTTCTCAAGGTAGCCTAATCATTCTTCCTCACAACTACTCGTTTCTGAGTCTCCCCTTCAGATGAGAGCCCTGATGTAGACAGACTGCTTTCTCCTGCCTCCATGGGAGATGCCCAAATCTGCACCGGAGAAACAGGCTCTGCCACCCAAACTTGTTCTCTGCTGGAAGGGCTCTGCGGTGTTGGCATGAAGCACCGAAATGAAGTTTTGTTGAGTGTGGATCCGTGGTCTTTCTTTAGTGCTCCTTAGCATCACCCCAGAATGACCAGGTTACCCCTGCAGGATGAAACCTTACAGGCATGTCCAACCTGCAGCCTATGGGCTGCCTGCAGCCCCAGCGTGGCTGTGAATGCAGCCCAACACAAAAATCATAAATTTACTTAACACATTATGAGACTTTTTTTGTGATTGCATGTTGCAATGTATTTAATGTGTCACCCAGGACAACTCTTTTTATCCCAGTGTGGCCCTGACACACCAAAAGGCTAGACACCCCTGCAAGGTACCAGAGCCTGCATTTTCTCTTCTCCCTTCACTTTTACAGCTACTGTTGTGCCTCCTGGCGTTGCTGTGCCTCCAAGTCTAGGCACACACTGCTTCATTTCTCTTAGCACAGCTGAGGCAGGCGGTCCTTTCAAATGTCAGTACTAAGAAATAGCAAAAGAGAGTTAAGTGTGTAAACGTTGTAAGTCTGATTCACCCTGTGCAGGCTGCTGATGCTGCTATGGTGTTCTGGCTCCCAGAGCTGGTCCTTTCTTTTCTAAACTCTCTACACAATCCCTACAATGTTGTCGTCTTTCATGGGAGTTTTACCTAGGTCTTCACTTTTAGCTTCTGGCCTGCTTCTAGCTGGAAGTCTGAATCACCCTGCAAAACAGATGTATTTTAGACCTTATTTTACTGGCTAGTTGATGTACAGCTCTGCTTTGCAATTCAATCCTACCTTACTCTGTGCAGTTTTTGAAAAATGGGAAAAATTAAATAGAGTTCATGTCATTAGGAGAACTGACTCATTAAACAAAATTCGTAAAGTAATGATGTTGTGAATCAAATAGTCACTCTGTTTCACATAGGCAGGTATAGATGTTTTCCTCCTCAAAAGTGTCATCTCTGACAAAGCACTCACAGTGTAGTCTTTGACAAGATGTTTAACGTTCTAGAAAAACCTCTTCCCATGAAGCTGTACTACCTGCCTGTTGGAGTTGCTCAGTTATTTATTCATTGTCCTTAGCTCTTAAGTATCTTAGACCTACAAGTGAAGGAATCACCCAAAGTCACAGCACTGATAGTTAGGATAGAAAATGTTCTAAGAATTCCGAGTCCATGGGGTGAAAACAGATTCACAGATTGGTAAGGCCTTCACCATGTTTCAAAACTGAAACACTTTCATCAACATTGTCCTCCACAAATGTCTGAGACTTGCTAAATGCAGGGCCACATTCTAAGATCTTTTCCTTAATTTGGAGAGTAAGCCGAAGTATATGTATCCTCCTTTCCCAATTGAGACTTCAAAATGAGTGTTGGTGCAGAGAGACAGCAGCAGACAGATGTACGTAGATAGGGCACAATTCCAGGATATTGACACAGCCCAGGTAGGACAGCCGAACGGAAAAAAAATATTTACCATAATGTGTTCATCATTACTTTAATGTGGATTTATGAGGAGAATGAGATGAAGAAGGGTATTGAAAAAATAACTAGGAGGTAAATAACGTCAGTCAGTCCAGTTGGGAGTAAAGGAAGAAGGGAAAGGGAGATAATACTGGATTTGCTAAGAAGTTCATTTAGTTTTTCTGTATGATGGCTCTAATAGCTCTTGGTTGTCTTTAACGTCATTGGAAACGATTTTGTTAGGTTGTATTGTGACAGCTGTCATTTCACCATGCATTTAAAAAAACATCAAAATTGGTGGATTTTTGTGTAGCCATTTTAATACTGAAGATGCAATATTTTGGCATATCATACTTTATTATTTCAAGAAGGTAAAAACGCAACTGAAATGCAAAACAAGATTTGTGCAGTGTATGCAGAAGGTGCTGTGACTGACTGAATGTGTCAAAAGTGGTTTGCGAAGTTTCTTGGTACTACTGACATTTGGGCCAAATAATTCTTGGCTGTGGGGCTGCCTTATGCATTCAAAAATGTTTAGCAGCACCCCTGGCCTCTAGCCACTAGAAGCCAATAACAGGAGACAGCCAAGTACTCAAATATCAAATCAATAAAGTTATTGGTGAAAATGAAAAATTTGTATTTTATTTTACAGAAAACACTAAATGGACCTTGGCCAGCCCAATACATCAAAGAAACTGAATAACAGTGGGTGATGTCACTGTTTGGGTATTAAAGGTAGTGCTGTGTATGGGAAATGCTCTGACAGGGCCACTGTCCCAGCTTCGTGGTGTTTCTTGTTTAGGGCACTCTCCCTGGACCCCTGTTCTGGAACTGAATGAATGTGATCTTGCCCACAGCTTCCATGGGACTAAATGAAGAACAGAAAGGATTCCAGAAAGTGGCCTTTGACTTTGCAGCCCGGGAGATGGCTCCTCATATGGCAGAGTGGGACCAGAAGGTAGAAGTGTTTCTGTGGCTAGATATTCCAACAAATGCCTGTCTTCATCTCCTTGTAATCCTAACTGTTCACTGTTCATTCTCCACTTACAAATGAGAGTACTGGTAATGAAATTGTTCCTTTTTTAGAAGGCACTCTCATCATCTTGAAAATACTGGTTTTGTTTTTATTTTATTGTACAAGGATTTAGAGCTCTTCTGTAACCAAGGGAGTTGTTCTGATAATGAAAAGAAAACCAGTCCTTATAGAATGCATTTCGACTGATACACTGTATACACGACAGATAAGCATATTAAGCTAAGAGAATCCCTATACTCCCAAATGCAAACATGCCCATCCCTCTCTGTGTCCTCTGCAGAAAAGTCCATCTGTGAATCACTTACTGATGACTCTGCTCCCTTTTGTGCATAGGAACTGTTCCCAGTGGACATGATGCGGAAGGCGGCTCAGCTAGGTTTCGGTGGGGTCTATGTACAAACGGATGTAGGTGGGTCGGGACTGTCACGGCTTGATGCCTCTGTCATCTTTGAAGCCTTGGCTACAGGCTGCACCAGCACCACAGCCTATATCAGCATCCACAAGTGAGTGCCCAAGCTTGGAAAGCACAATGCAGTGCTCACTGGGTTGCCTAGGAAATTTCAGGTAAATAGGAAAAAAGTATCTTTTCAGGTTGGTTGCCTTTGAAGAACCAAACTGTTAAAAGTTCATTCTAGGTCTGCTGCTACCTGTTGGACTTGAATTTGTCATTGTGTATGTGGTTCAGAGAATCAGGACTGCCTGCCTTCCCCCAAATCCCAGATCAAATGGCCCCAGACAGACTTCTCCTGTACAGTGGTCAGGATCCGGTTTTCCTTTTCCTCAACCCAAAAAGGAATCCTCCAGAAATTTGGGAAAGTACATAAAACTCTCAGAATTTTCAGGAGCTCAGTTAGGGAGCTAACTAGAAGTAGCATGAGCGTCCATGTGATAAACACTTTGGCCCAGGTTATCTCCGGGTGGTACACATTCTGGGAATATGTTATAATCCAGGTCTTTCCTTCAAAGTTGAATCTTCTTGATTGTGACTTTTCCTTTCCCACTCTCTCTTCTGCTTCTGTCTACCTTTCTGCCTTTGCTTTCCTCCCCCACTTCCCTCTCAAATTTCCTTTTCCATCTTTTCCTCTGTGAGTGCCTTTTGTCCTTGCTATACTTCTCAGCATGTGTGTCTGGATGATCGATACCTTTGGAAATGAGGAACAGAGGCACAGATTTTGCCCACCACTCTGTACCATGGAGAAGTTTGCTTCCTACTGCCTCACTGAGCCAGGTGGGTTTGCCATACTGCAGGTGACACCGTTACTCAAGTGAAGTCACTGAGTACTCGTTAGCAGGTTGGTATACACCACCATTGTTTGCCAGGAAGTTTCGTTATAGAGTAACAGTTTCTTAATGACTTGATGTTACAAAACTAAGAGAGCTCTAGAGCAGTTTCTCCAGGTTTATTGCAGGACAGTGTGACTGCTGTGTGCAATTTATACCAAGTACAGAGAGTTCCTTTGGTGGTCTCGATTTTGAAGTATCGAACTCTGAGCTGTTTGTCATAAGGGAAGGTTTCCTAGGAGATGGAAACATGCTGGAGCTCCCTTAACTTGGCTGACTTGCTCCCCTACCCTCTCTGCTTTCTGTCTGACCCCTGCCTTAGGAAGCGGGAGCGATGCTGCCTCCCTTCTGACCTCAGCTAAACGACAAGGAGATCATTACATCCTCAACGGCTCCAAGGTACCAGTGTGCTTTCCCAGAACAACTGGGAGAACAGTTGTCTTCATCTTTTGCTCACATCACCTGGATCCTTGCTATCTTCGAGTTAATATTCCCATGGGATTTTCACATGCTAGCGAGAGAACCCATGACCCACTTCCCTTTATCACCTTCACTGTTTCTCTCTCTTCTGTTCTGCTCCAGGTAATTTCATTCATTTTGGTCTATCCTTTTCATAGTCTCCTCAGCTAGATCCCTGATTGCCTAGTCAGTGCAATTTCTTTTTAGCCATCCTTAGTGGCTCTGTGCTGTTGTGCCACTTACTGTCCTGCTGTCCTGACCGCCATGCACCACCTCCCACCCCACAGGCCTTCATCAGTGGTGGAGGCGAGTCAGACATCTATGTGGTCATGTGCCGAACAGGAGGGCCAGGACCCAAAGGCATCTCATGCGTCGTTGTTGAGAAGGGGACCCCTGGCCTCAGCTTTGGCAAGAAGGAGAAGAAGGTAAGTGGCTATTGACAGGAAGCAGTTCCAGTTCTGATGTGGCCCCCACCAGACTGAGCTCTGCTCTGTTTCTGGAAACAGTTCACAGACTTTCTAACTTGCCTTGGAGGCAGTTGCTTCTAGTAGGATTTTGACAGGAACAGATGAAATATAATTGGGCCTCGTTAACAACCAGCAGGCCACTGGCAACAGTGACCGAGTTTACCGGTCCCGCCTATAAGCTGCCTGTTGTTCCGGTGCGAGCGACCTTCCTCTCATCTCTCCTCTTTCCATTTTTAGCCTGTGTTCCTTTTCCAGTTTTTTGTTTGGGTGCACTCTGTTATCTCAAGAAGAAATACTTATGGAAGATGTGGTGTTTACTAGAAGTCTCAGGAATGATATTTTTGGGCCACTTTTCTTCTTTTAATAAAAATAAAGTATGATTCTTTGGAGATGATTGTGGGTATTCCAGTAATGTTCAGAGGGTGGGTACTTCCATGGGTGTTCTGAGAAGACATTTTTAGGATTGAGAAATCTGATTGATAGCCAGACCATGAGCAGTGCAACCATAATGAAGTAACCATTGCTGGTGATAGGGTGAGACCCTTTAGATTTGTTAGGCCAGACGATCAGAATAGTCATCTACCTCTGACATGTACTGTTGTAGTTAGGATCTTGGGGGAGAAGTCAGGTAACGAAATCACCCCTGAATGTACTTCTTTCATAGCTCCTAGTACTTCCAAATTTCCCTGCTTGACCCTTCCTGATCCTTCATAACTTCCAAGGAGTTATTAATGCCCTTTTTACAACATAGCAGGTATTTATTTACTAGATGCATACTGTATGCAAAGCCTTAGGCTAACTCCTAGAGGAATACAAAAGTCACTCCTAGCCTTGTTTAGGATTATGAGGCATATGCTGTCTTATCTGTGTAAGACACATATGCTATGTGTGATGCATTGTGTTGGCCACAAAGTCTGCTTAGTTTCTTCTCTAAAATAAAAGACAGGTTTTTCATCTTTATCAATAACTTTATTGATTTGATATTTGAGTACTTGGCTATCTCCTGCTATTGGCTTCTAGTGGCTAGAGGCCAGGGGTGCTGCTAAACATTTTTGAATGCATAAGGCAGCCCCACAGCCAAGAATTATTTGGCCCAAATGTCAATAGTACCAAGAAACTTCACAAACCACTTTTGACACATTCAGTCAGTCACAGCACCTTTTGCATACACTGCACAAATCTTTTTTTTGCATTTCAGTTGCATTTTTACCTTCTTGAAATAATAAAGTACAATATGCCAAACATATTGCATATTTTTTTCATCTTCAGTATTAAAATGGCTACACAAAAATTCACCAATTTTCATATGGTTTTTTTAAATGCATGGTGAAATGACAGCTGTCACAATACAATCTAACAAAATTGTTTAGTTTAAAGACAACCAAGAGCTACTAGAGCCGTCTTACAGAAAAAAACTAAATGAACTTTTTGGCCAACCCAATATAAGACATATGGCTATAGGATTTCTAGGTCCTAGGAATGTCTGTTTTGGGTTATAAAACACAGAATGACTTATGTACCCTGACACGTAATTTTACAGGATCCAGTTGTAGTAATTCAGGTATTTGATGTAATGACTATTTTAACATACAAACTGAGGTCAGAACTTTCTGTTCCATTTTACATTAGGTGTTTATATTCTGGTTGGGGAGACAAGTTCACAGGTAGCCACCATATAGGCCAGTGTTGGAAAGTTCCAGACTTATGGTAATGAAACTGGGAGAAACGATCCCAGAGGCTCAATTGCCTGCCAGCACAAAAGCGACACTTGGGACACAGGTTCTGGTGAGAGGGAAAGTGATTTTATTTCAGGTGCCTGCGACCCAAGAAGATGGCAGGCTCATGCCTTAAAAACCATCTTTCAATAAAGCCAGTGATGTTTATAAGGGAGTTAATGGGAATTCGGGAGAGGGAGAATTCCTAGGGTGGCAGTGTGGACATGCAGTTTCTCTTGAGAAAGGGAATTGCAGGTGAGGGGAGCATAAGTGAAACAGGGTCATGTAGTTTTGCTTGGATTCGTTCCTCTTGTTCTGATTTTACATTGTGATGTGTGTCAGCCAGACCTCTGTTGTTCATTGTAGGGGCTGGTGCTCCTCATTTTGGAACAGGTTATTCCGCTATAACAGGACCTTGGCCAGAGGGGGAGCATAGGGTTGATTAAAAGCACAGGGTTAATTATACACTTCGATTTGTTACAGAATGAGTAACTTGGATCACTACACTAGGAATATGAAATCACAATGACAACTCTCTACTGTCAATTCTGGCTCCACTTCCATGGTGACTTAAAGACTAGTTTCTTGCAATTTATTAAGAAATAGAAGTTTTGATCAGAAGCAAAGCTTTTAGCATTGAAGAAAGGCATTTTTGGAGGTTCAGATAGTGTGTTACCAAATTTGCTAAAACAGCAGGTGATTACTTTAAATATAAAATATATGAAAAAAATCAGTATAGCCAGCCTAAGTTTTAGAATACTCCCCTAAAATAGACCTAATCCTATCTGGTATCCATGAAAACAAAGAAAGCTAATCTGTAATTCCTTTTCCCATTTCCTCAAGTGTGTGGTCGGTGGGGGGGGTGGGGGGGGTGCGGTATGGTGATCTAACGTTTGTTGGAACCATGCAGCCAGTTGGTGAATCTTAGCGATGCAGGTTTCTACTTGCTGGTAGATCTCAAGAGGGAACAGTTCTCCCCTCGGTTCCCCTGAACATGTTAAAAGTATCTGGAGTTGGAGTGCATTTTCCAATGAAACCTGCAGCTGAAGCTGCTGCCTTTCTGCAGAAAAGGTTACTTGGGTATGTAACTTACAGGGCAAGTCCTGTCCCAGCCCAGGGATGGAACATTCAGGCATGTAGAGGAAGCTGTGTGATGACTTAAGATCTCTGAGTTGGCCTTCTAAAGGCTGGAGAAAGGTCTTTTATTGCATCTGTCTGGTAATCCCTGCTATCTAGATGATTTCCTGACTTCTTTTAGTCATTCTTGTATTTAAAACTGAGTAAGTGCCTCCAGTGTCTACTAAGAAGTCAGTCAATTTGTTCCCCATTGTCAGTTGTATCTGGGGCTCCTAATGATGGGTCGGGAGGTGTCCAGAGGAGTCCCCAGGCCTCCTTATTTATCATCTGCCTATGTGTTTCTTTTTTTACTTATTTTTCTTTTTTTATGCCTCTTGCCAGTCACTCGAGGCTTTACACGTTGGTGACCTTTTGTACATGGCCTTGCTCTGGTCTTGTATAACTGCCTATCACATTCTTCCCCCAAGGATCTTGGCTCTGAAGCCTTTCAGGGGAAGGGTGCAGGATCTCTTTTGTAACTTTTCTGCTGGAGAGGGGTGATGTTTTTCTTCTGGGCCTACAGATTCTTGCTCTCTGTCAGAGGTGAGATGAGGACTGGCATGGAAAGGGCGGTGATGGTGTCTAGAGGTGGCATTCCCTGAGTACGAGTGGGGCTTGTAACGTGGTGGAGACAAACTGTGTTGCAAATCTCAATACTATATGGCAAAAGCTAGAAAATTCAGGATCCAGTTCATTTCATAAATGAAAAATAAAATTTGGAAGACAACTGAACTACAGTCTAATGTCCATAATTGTGTATATAGAGTCTTTGGAAATACAACTTTTCTTTCCCTAAAATCACACTTATTTTTATCAAAGAGCCAAATCAATTCATTTATTGCATTAACTCTGGTTTCAATTAAGCCTGATATTTGCATAAACACAACAAGGAATAGCAATTGATTATGTAAGCTTTCCTAAATCTGCTTTCCTAGAACCTTATGAGGAATTTTCAGATTGAGCTTCAATTAGCCTCTCAGGATAAAGAAGCCCAGCCACACAGTTACCATCCAGCTTTGCCTTTAAGAGCTACAGATTTGGGTGAGTTCCTCAAGTCCTTGAGGTCCCCAAAATGTCTTGTGGTTCTTCTTTGCTATGTCCCAAGAAAGCACCATCACTCCTTACCTGGAAAGCCTGCCATGAACCAACCACATGAACAAGCAAAGTACCAGGCCATTTCTCCAAGGGCTTGTATCAGCTTCAAAGTCAGTCTTCCTTCCTTAAAACTTTCTGGTGACCTCGAGAGTCTAGTCACATCTCACGCAGACATGGCATTCCAGTCAGTGTCTTGGTACATAAAACTGGCTTTACGTGTCCTCTTATGAAGAAATGAGATTCCTATTGTGTTTATGCAAACAAGTATATTGCTATAAAAATAGTAATTCTGGAGGGATTAGGAGGGGAGAAAAAAATAAATGTCTCTATATTGCGTATGAAAGTATAATTTACCAAATTGCTTTAAGAAAAAAAAAAACAACTTTCCTTATATCTGGAAAACAAAGGATTAAAAATTAGCAATATTTTCAACAAAAGGTTACAAAAATCATAATTCTTTTTAGTTAATTCAGTTTCATAACCAGTATTTGTTTATTCTGATTTGCCATGAATCCAGTTATTCTATAGAGTTCTACTAATCTTCATTCAGTTCAAAGGTTTGATCTGAAAATTTTTCTCAGAAATATGTAATTTAGAATAAGTCAGAGTCCTTTCCATAGATTTTTCTGAAGATGTAACATCTTTGCATCAGAGCAAAACAATGACTTTCTGTAAATGACAGAAAAAAACTTAAAATGACATAGATATAGATCTGATTATAATGCAGTTGACAAAGGAATTTGCTTTCCTGTAATAACCTTTTAAGATAACAATTAGAATTACAAATGAAAGTATATCAGAACTTTGTAGACTCTTGGAGATTTTTATATAATCTCTAAAACATTTATTTTAATGATAAAAGTACATGTATACAAATAAAACATACAATGGGTCAAACTAAAATTATTTTATTAATTTGACAAAGCTTCCCATGTACCTTAAGTATTTCAAAATGGCCTAATCGGTTTAAAATTTCTTCATAAGGGGAGAGAACAAATCCTTGAGGTATTCCAAGGGCCCATTGGAATGACTCAAAGCCAGTTCTAGCTCAAAAAAGTCTTAAAATGTAAACTCTGGGAAGGTTGTCCAACATACTTGACTAAATGAGTATATGTTATTATGAAACAATATTAAATATTTATTTACTCAAAGTCACAAGAAAAGGCCCTGACCAGTGTGGCTCAGTGGAGTGGGCATCATCCCACAAACCAAAAGGTCACCAATTCAATTCCTGACCAGGACACACACCTGGTATGCAGGCCAGGTCCCTGGCTTGGGGCATGATAGGGGCAACTGATGGAAGTCTCCTCACATTGATGTTTCTCTCCCTGCCTGTCTCTCTCCCTTTCCCTCTCTCTAAAAATATATAAATAAATTTTTTTTAAAGTGACAACAAAAATTTTCCAACACAAACACAGGTTACCAAAACTATAGTTGTTAGAATTAAAAAGATGGGTTTTTAAATAATTAAGTACCTGATTAATATAATATGACATAACTAATTTAATAATACATAGAATCTTTGCTTTCTAGGCAAATACAGGAAAAGCTTTTTTCCCTTTTAACAGACTGAAAAGGACCCAAACAAATTTTGTATTAGTTTACTTTTGATATTTAGATTAATTTACCTAATTAAATTTATTATTCAGCTTACCTATTTAATTTCCTATTAAGATTTCTATTTATAAGGCTTCTTATCCATTGAAATAACCAGCTTTAGAGCAATTTATTTTTTCCTTAACAAATATTGTTATACTTTGTATCTTTTATTATGAAACCATACAATTTCTTTCTAACTTAATTAGAATTCTTAACTGTTAGAAACCTTGATTTTTTTAGTGAGAACTGAAAGTAATTCACATTCTTTAGATTGCTACTTTTATGAACACATTCCATAACTTTTAGAAACACTTTTTATTTGCAAACACACTCACATTTTCAAAAGACTTACCTCAAATAAAGTACAAGATATATTCATGAACAGATCTAAATCTATTCTCTAGCTTCTTTGTGAAAAGAAGCCAAAAGTGGGCAAACTTAGATCAATTAATATTTCAGTATTGTTATTTCAAAATATCCAGATATTTAATAATCTTCACCATTTAACATAGCAAAACTCTGGTTTTAAGTTACCACAGACTTTGGAAAACTATGTTTAGATATATATAATTATTATAGAAAAGCTTTATCAAAAACCTTCCATTTTAGTTATATCTATTCATTCTGTTTTTATTTTTTTTAAATATTGTTTATGCTATTACACTTGTCTCAGTGTTTCCCCTTTTGCCCCTCTCCACCCAGCTTCCCCACTCTCTCATGCAATCCCCACAGTGTTGTTGTTGTTCACGGGTCATGCATACATATTTTTTGGCTAATCCCTTCACCTTCTTTTCCTTCCCCCAGCAGGGCATAGCAAGCAACCAGTGCCAAGAGAGAGTGAGGGATAGTTCCTGAGTGAATTCACTTGGCAACTGTTAGGGTCTCCCAAGGTCTATCTCAGGGTCAGTCAGCTACAGGCAGCCTAGGGAATCCCCTCCAAAGTCTAAGGACTTACTACAGGCTCTCATTTGCTCCTGGCTGGCTCACCAAATCTGAAACTGCGATAGACGACCCCCAGGCCCAATTGCCTACCACCACGAAAGCCAAATTCATGACACAGGTGCTGATGAGGAGGAAAAGTGGTTTTATTTCAGGTGCTGGCAACCTGAGAAGATGACAGAGCTTGAAAGAGAGCAAGATTGCTGCTGGCTCAAGTGACTGGGAAGACCTCAGGAGGCTTCATTTAACTAGACTGACGGATGGAGGTTGGGACTAGCTGGTATTTCCAGTAGAGGGAGCAGGATAAACAAAGCATGGGTTTAAAAACCCAGTAGCTCAGTGTGTTAACCAGCTTGCCTGGGGTGAAGAATACTTACAGGTGATCTCTAGAAGAGAAGGCTGGGAAGAGAGGGTTGGGCTACATTTTAGAAGACCTTAACTAAAGGGCTGAGGAATAAAGTTTATCTACCTAACAAAAGGGAGCTGTTGAATGTTTTTCTGTAAGGAAGTGGTAGTGATGTGAAGGCAGTAGTGTTTTCAGAGAGCTAAGGAACTGGGAGATTTTATATAGTGTTGTTTTAAAATCTGCATCAAAACCTCCGAGTTCTCTGAAGCCTTGGGAAGTACCTGGAAGAGGAAGTGAAGGAGTCAAGTAGTGAGAGCCCTATTCTATTTATATAGGAAACATTGGAATAAGATTTTATTTGATGAAAGTAGCTCTGCTGGCTTTCTAGTGCAATTCCCTTACATAAGGAAAAACCAAGATCACAAAAAAGCCCAGTGATTTGGTGAATGACGAAGAATACAGCTAGTTGGTTGCATGACATGGACTATATCTTAGGCATTCAAAATTTTTGCTGGGACTTGTGACTGACAAATTCAAGGATGATCTGGTAAGTCATCTATCTGGGAAAACCAACCCCCCCCAACCCTCCTAGTTTGCCAGTTTTTGTGGTGTAATGCTCCCACCATGGCTGATGTCAGGCCACCAATATCACTGAAAGCCAAGCTAAAGGAAAAGACGTGCTTGTCTCTTTGGAGCTGGCACTGGCACATCACCACATCTCTTTGCCGCTAATGCTGAGCTAGGTGTGGCCAACACAGTGCAGGTTATTTATAACATCCTAGAAGAACACTAAGGTTGTGAGAGGAGAAGTGTGGCTGTTGTTAATAATCAAATAATCCAAGTAATTCTTATGTATATCTTATAAGATGAATAATTCTTATATTATCTAAGGCATTGTACTTACATAGATGCACCAGAAATGATGACAGCCCCTCCTCAACCCTAAAAGAAATTGTGAGAAACATCTGTGAGTAGTTTAATCCAGTAGAGTGGACATTAGAATAGATGCTTTTAATATGTTAAAAATGGCTAGCTGAAAAATACCTGTCAAATATTTAAATCTGAACTTTAATTTTTCCTCATTTTAAGTTGTCAAGGGTCTGATCTCAGGGAAATGGAGCCTGTGCTGCCCAGGCGTTCGTCCAGCACTGCCCCTGTGGTGAATGCTTGTGCAGCCGTACACTCCCTGATTTTTGCCAGGTGGGGTGGAACTCGCAGCCAACCCGAGCAGTCATCTTCGAAGACTGCGCCGTCCCTGTGGCCAGCAGAATTGGGGACGAGGGGCAGGGCTTCCTCATCGCCATGAAAGGACTAAATGGAGGGAGGATCAACGTTGGTGAGAACACGAAGGGGCAGGTAGGGAGGCAGCGGAGGGACAGGTGGCACTGCTCTCCCAGCTCTGTCACAGTGTCGGCTCTCTTCCTTTCCAGCTTCTTGTTCTCTCGGGGCTGCTCATGCTTCAGTCATTCTCACCCGAGACCACCTCAATGTCCGGAAGCAGTTTGGAGAGCCTCTGGCCAGGAACCAGGTAACTGCCCAGGTGTCTCTGCTGTGCTTCCCAGTCTTTACAGGAGACCTTCTCTGGGGCCCACATTCTCCAGGAGAGTGGAATTCTGCCCCCATCTGAGCCAGAATTGGTGCTCTCTGTCTAGTAATAATTTTTCCCAGAGGTAATAATATAAGTGCAGGGCAAGTGAAGTGGACTTAGAACTTGTAGGCAGTACATTTTCTCTGTAGGAGAGGCAGAAGGCTTTGAGGCTTCGAGTCACTTAGGAAAGGTTCCTTATAGAGATGTCTCCCAGAGGGCCCCAGATCAGGTGCTGCTCTAAGCCTGTCTATCTTGTCTGTCTCTCTTACCCACTGTTGCTGTAGTACCTGCAGTTCAAACTGGCTGACATGGCAACCAGGCTGGTGGCCTCAAGGCTGATGATCCGCAGTGCCGCAGTGGCCCTGCAGGAGGAACGGGAAGACGCAGTGGCCCTGTGCTCCATGGCCAAGCTCTTTGCTACAGATGAATGTTTTGCTGTAAGTGGTAATGCCTGCTCTCTGGCTCTCCTGGGTGAACAGGGAGCACTGCTAGGTTGAGTTGTTTTGAGATGCTTAAGTTAACTCCTGGGATGCTTCAGGGATCGCCTTGGGGCTTAAAGATATAAGTTCACTCATGAGGGGCCTGCAGGGGAGCTCTCACAGCTGGCTCTTTACCAGTCCCATGCCGTTACATACTTTATTCTGTCATTGTCATTTGGTCATGGTCTAGATGGGATCTGCCTTTGGGAGAAGGTTCAGAATAGCCCAGTGGCTCTCGCCCAGATGTGCCATGTTTACAGTGTCAGGGGCAAAGCTATTTCCATGTGAAGGCTGTGTTGCCACTAGATGGTACCTGAGCTTCATAGAATCCCACCCATGGTGGTTGCAGGCCACTCCTCCCTACGAGCCAGAGACAGGGGTCTCTGCTTTGCCTGTCTGGTGGGAACCAACAAGTTCAGTTGGTGAACTCCTCATGTTGTCTCTGGCCGCAGAGAATATGGAGCCCCTTTTTGGCTTGGCTGGTTATCTGTAGGTGGTTCTTTCTCATATTAGTCCACAGCAGGCTGCCAGATTGGAGGTAGGGGTGGAGAGACAAGCCACTTGTTCCAGTCTTCCTGACATTCAAGATGCCTCATCCCTGTCTCCCTGCAGATCTGCAACCAGGCCTTACAGATGCACGGAGGCTACGGCTACCTGAAAGACTATGCTGTTCAGCAGTATGTGCGGGACTCCAGGGTCCACCAGATACTGGAAGGTAAACATTTCCAGAGGTTATTCTCTTCCTTTCGGAATGGTCGCAGCATCTCCAGCCTCGTGGCTGGTCTCAGTGTTCCACCTGGGTCTGTATGTCATGGGCATCCTCCCTCCTCCTGACCCAGCTCTGGAAGGGCCTGTTGCTGCTGTGCAAAGAGCACTAGGCAGGGAGTCAGGAGGCTCTGCTTAGTCACGTGAGTAGGCCATTGATTCACTTCACTTCTCATCTTTTTCTCTGTAAATTTTAGAGAAGGCGGAAACTGAGATAATACATGGAAAAAACATTTGAAAACTCTGGCAGTGACTGTTCTTTACTGTTATAAAGTGACTACTTGGTCCTCTGGAATCCCCAAACTTCTGTACAGTAATTCACAGGGTGAATGTGAGCCAATTTGATCACCATGGCCTTTACAAGTTGATTATCAGCCAGATGGTCTAAAACACAGTTGGCAAACACAAGGCCCTCAGGCCAAATCTGGCCCTTGATCTGAATCGGCCTTCTACCTTGTTTTATCTGGCCCGTGTTTCTACCTGGCAGCAGTGCCGAGCTCCTTGCCCTTCGCCCCTCATTAAGGAGTAGTTACAGTTATACAGTCCTAAAATTACATTTGGCCCTTCGAAGGCAACTATGAGGCTGTTGTGGCCCCCAGTGATGAATTTGACACCCCTGGTCTAAAAGATATATTGTCAATTTTGCTACTGGATTTTTCAGTAAAATCAATCCTAGAATGTGGGCATCTTCTTGGTAATCACAGACTTCTGGGAGGAGAAATGTGCAAGCTACTGGAGTCACACTCAGAGCATGGCCTTCTCCACTCACCACACCAGTGCATACGTCTTGAAATTACATCCCTGTGTTCCAGCTAGTGTAGGCAACTGGCGCTGGGACACCGTAGGAGAAGCCAGTGTGGCAAAGGCTCGTCTCAGTGACTCTCAGTGAAATAGTGTGGGGCTGCTTTAATGGGCCATAGCGGAAGCCTCTGAGCATTGGCGTCCCTGCCGCTTGCAAAGCACCCTTCTCAAACTTGAGCACACATGCGAATCATAGAGTCACCGAGTCACCAGAAGGGCTTGTAAAGACAGATTGCTGGGCCCCAACCCCCGAGTTTCTGACTCAGTGGTTCTTGGGTGGCCTGAGAATTTGCATCTGTAGGACATTTTCAAGTGAGACTGCTGCTGCTTGTCTGAGAACCACACTTTGAGACCCACAGCTCTGGAGTGATGTTCAAATCACAGGCTTCTCCAGGTTAGCCTCTGCCTCCCTGCTGCGTGCCTCATCCCTGAAGTGTGGTCATGAGCTTAGTTGCTAGTGCTCTGATTACCATATTTTGCTATGTATAACATGCACTTTTTTTGCCCAAATTTTTGAGGGAAAAATAAGGATGTGCATTATACACAGGTAGTAGTAATTGCATAGCTATATAAATGTTTTTAATTCTTTCATTTATGCTTATGCATTAAAAGTGTAACTCAAGAAAGCAATAATGATATCCATATGCAAAATAATACCCTGGAATACAAACATGTAAATATAAATAAATAAAAAATTGAAATAAAAAATTACAACAAAAGATTTTTTTCCTGAAAGTTTGGGCCAAAACTGTGGGTGTGCATTATACATGGCAAAATATGTTAAATTAGTCTTTCTCCTCTACTACCCCTACAGTTACTTTTTCACCCCATATTATGAGTGTAGGAGACTTTACCTTCATCGTAACCCTGTCTTTTAATCCTGGGAATAAATGGGAAAAGGCAGATACGTTCATTTCAGGCCACAGCATCATCCACTCCTAGAAAAATGTGGGCACTGATCTTGATCACTTCGTTGTATCATGGACTTTGTTATCAGGTAAATCTGAATTTTAGATTTGGGTTTTTTGAAATGTGGTTATTTATCCCTCATGATGGTTCATATTTCTCTTTGTCTTAAAGGACACTGTAAAAATGAGGTAAGTGTTCAACTCTCTTTCTGGGGAACATTTTAAAATTAAGTGTTCTGATTACCCAAGAAATTGGTGTATTTATTGTTGAAAACTTATAAAATAGAGGGAAAGTGAAAAAATCACTTACGTTTCCACATCCAGAATTAATACTTTGGACTCCTTTTATATTTAAGTCCAAAAATATCTCCTTTTTTTTCCTATGCTTTTATAGTTTATTTTTTTAAAAAAATAGAATTATACTATATATATACACCATTTCTTCTTCTTCTTCTCCTCCTCCTCCCCCTGCTCCCTCCTCCTCCCCCTTCTCCCCTTCCTCCATATAAGCATTTTTACCATCAGCAGAGGCTTTTTAAAAGTAACTCCATTCACTTTCTGACACTTTTCTTCAGTTCAGAGAGAAGTCTGCGGTAATTTGATCCCATGCAGGGATAAAGGCAACAGCTGTCACTCACATCCACAACTACCCTGAGCTAGGCTTGGAGCACCCTGGTCAGAGCCTTGCCGAGGTGGCAGACTCTGCTGCTTCTGACTCCTTCCTTCTTGCCCTGCCTTACAGGCAGCAATGAAGTGATGAGGATGCTGATCTCTCGAAGCTTGCTTCAGGAGTAGCGCCCAGGTTTGGTCTTCTGGCATGATGTTTAATGTGCAGCTTGACTTGGCCTCAGGCAGCTCCTTGTGGACGGTGCTGTTGCAGATGAGTCATGGATTAGATGGAAGGCCTCTTCTAGGCAGACCCTTCACTGTGTGTTGGCTGTGGTACAGCGTCTTCAGAGAGCCGGAGGAGCCGCCTTGATTGGGGGCATCACAAAAGGACACAGTACTCTTGCACACAGGCAAACAGTGCAGACACATCACCAAACCATAGGCCTCTCTTGGATCTGTGTCGTCTCGATTTGTCTTGCATTTGGCTGGATCACCGGGTCCTCTTCCAGGGATCTGGATATTTCTATGGAGGGTTTTTCCTATTTGTAAAGCAAAGGCATGGGAAAGGAAAATGGAGAGAAAATGGCCTCTCTTTTCCTGTCCTCTGTAGCTCAGCTAAAGGTGCAGAAGGGCTCTGTAGGTGCATTTCCTGTATAGCACACCTCTGAAAGCCAATCATGGTAAAATGAGTGTCAGGAAAACTTTGTTCCTGAGCTGTGATTTAGGGGTATCTGGAGTCTGGACTACCCGGCTGTCATGGACTAAGGTCACCTGGGACTTTGAGTATTTGTTGTTGCTTTCTTTTTTAAGAATCATGTAATTTGGGATGGTATTCAAAGTTTCTATAACCCTTTCTAATAAATACTTTGAGTATATTTTTTCCAATCTGTGTTTCTGTTTTCTTTTTTGAAGTTGCTCCTCTTTTTAAGTATTTTTAATTACTGCACTGATAAATGAACCTGCCCCTTTCTGTGCTATCTTGAGTTCTGCCAAACTTGATTTTTATTTTACCTCAGTAACTAAGCCTTTGCCACTATTTTTAACATTTTTATCATATTTAATTAAATATTTAACTAGATTTTGGAATAATAATAAAAAATCTGTCCTTGACCTAATTGGATTGAAAAAATAAGCCCCTTAAATTACTGATATCTTTGTAAACTAAGCATTGTTTATGATTTATGAAAATAGATTTAAAGTAATACTCAAAAATGGAGACTTGTCAGAGAACCCTGTTATAAACGATCACTACATCACTCTATGCCCTTGTCCCTATCAAAAAAATGTCCAAGTCACTTGTTAATTACAGGTCAGTCTTCAGAGAGCCCAAAATATACCTCTTTAGTTATGACGAGTATTTTCTTTTTTGAATGCATAGTTTCTGAAAGGAACCATGCTTGGCATTGCATAATTTTCTGCCTTTAAAGGCCTTATTTAGTAGTTGAATGCAAGGAAATGATCACTCTACAGAAGAGACAGTAAACTGGAAAAAGTGATAACATGGAAGGGATTCATGGAAATGGTTGGAATTCAAATTAAACTTTTATGAAAAGGGAACAGAGGAAGTTGGTTTGGGGCAGGGAAGAACCAGGATCAGAAAAGGTGAAGAATTTGTGTGGGAGCCATTGACACTTCGGTTTTTGTTTTGTCCTTTGGAGTTGGCATGGGAAAGAAAATGTAAGTGGAATCTGGGAGGGAGGGCCATGAAAACCAAGATTTGGGTTTTATTTGTCAGCAGTGGGAGCCACAGGAAGTTTTTAATGAGGATATGATGAGATTAATCCATTCATAAGAACATTCTGGAATGTATGTGTGGGATGAATATAAGTGGAGAAAGGCATATACAATCCATAGGTTCTTGAATTAGTCAAGGTCTGACGCAATTTGAACCTGAACTTGGAATGTAAAAAGAAAGAGTAGACGTGAGCAAGAATAGACCTGTGCTTAGGACACCTGCTGTGAAATTTGAAAGCCTTCCCAGTAAGTGGGCTGCTTTCTGGCATTTCAGTTCTGACCTGAAGCAAAAACAGGTGTTACAGTGTCTTACTATGTGTGCTTCTTGTAAGAGGCTGATGAAATACTAGTTATTACAAATGCATTCAGCACTACCCCCCTTAGCTATTATTCAGAGTTCAGTTTCTCAACAGGCAAGGGATTTGACCCCTGTATGAAGAATATAGTGAACTTTAAGCTGAACCATCATTGTTTGTTGGCTGTTCCAAAAATGTAACCAAAGAAGCAGAACAGACAGACATGTGATAAGGAAAACATCTGTGCCAGGCTCTATATTAGCTGTGCAATGCGTCAGGTGACTGAATAATTTAACTTGGCTGGACCTTGTAGACTGAGATGGCTGGTAACTAGGAAACAATTTCAGCATTTGGTAGCGAGAACGAAGATGTGCAGGAATGCTCTGGGGCACAAGTAGTCTCAATGGTCATAACAGGACAATGTCAGTCGAAATTGCATTTCCAAGTTGTCTGAACTCTTCAGTATCTCTTCACACCACCCCACACCACAATACCATCATGGCTAGAGGGGAAAGCTCATCGCTCTAATTATATGTACATTTCAACAGAAGAATGTTTAGGAATGTTACCTGTTAAAATTTCTTCTTCATGCTCTAGAGACT